AAGCCTGATCCCTTCCAAACCTGATTCCACTTCCAGCTTGATCCCTCCAGCCTCATCCCCAAAACTTGACCCCGTAACTTGTTTCCTCAAGGCCTGATACTCCAGGTTGACCCTCCTCTCAATCCTGATACCCCAAAGCTTGATACCCCCAGCATGAACCTCTCCAAATGACCCTACCAGCCTGACTCCTCCAAGCCTGGTCATCCCCACCCCACCCCCCGGCTTGATTCTCCCCAAGCCTGATCCCTCACTCAGCCCTTATCCTCTGCCTCGGTTTCCGCATTGTCCCATGCCAAGCTTGATACCCTCCCAGAGTCAATTTATAACCTCTGTTTCACCCCTTCTCCCCGTGATTACCTTGAACCCCCAGTCCTCAGCTTCCGACTTCAATCCCTGTATCATCAGCCCCACCCTCAGGGTCCAGGCCTTAGGCCCGTCCCAACCCCTCCCTATCCACTCTATAGTCCAGCCTCCCACCCAAGCTCCCTTGGGAGCCCCCTGGGCAATCACCAACCTGCTTTCGAGGAGCTGGGACTGGTGCCCAGGAGGTGTGGAATACAGTCGACAGTTCCCAGCTGGGTCCTGGGGAGACCGAGCACTGAGAGACACGTCTCTTCCAAGTGCAGCCCAGGGCATGCTGGCAGCCCCGAGGGGCTGGGAGGCTCAGTTAGAGTCTAACCAGGTAGATAGGGTTAGACCGCACAGGCGGAGACTCCCGCCCGCATGGAAAGTGAGTGAGAAGCCAAGCACTTCACCAGCATCTCCATCCTCACCAGCCCCTCCATCCTCACCGGCCCCCCAATCCTCACCAACTGCTCCATCCTTGCCGGCCCCTCATCCTTGCCAGCCCCTCATCTTCACCAACCCCTCCATTCTTGCCAACTCTTCCCATCTGCGCACCTTAACGCCACATTTGTTCTGTCAAGGTCCGTGCCCCTCGCCTGCAGCTGCCATGGAAGCTCCTCGGACCCTTTAGAAGGTCAGTGAAATTGGGATTCGGGCATCCAGGCAGTCTATGGGATGGGCTAGGGGCATTCTGGGTCTGCTTGCTCTGGAATGCAGAGGTTGACAGGATGTGACTTTGTGGGTGACTCTGGGGTCAGTCACCAAGGGCCATGGCTGCAGCTGCTGCAGTGATTTGCACATCCGACACTTACCCGCATTCCTCTCTCCAGTTGCCCTCTGAGGGCTCCAGGGAGACAAAGGGAGAGTGATGAGTAGGCTGGGATGGGAGAGGCGTGGCTTCTCCTCCCCAGCACATCTGACACAGTACCCAGCACTCAGGCATCAATCACCATGATAGTTGTTTTTTTTTTTTTTTTTTTTTTTTTTTTTTTTTTGTTTGTTTGTTTAATGGCTCATTCATTTGACAGCTGTCATTATGGAGATGTTTTATGTGTGCATTCCTGTTAATCTTCACCATAGCCCCAGGTATAGGTATTGTAGTCCCGGTTTATAACTTTGGGAGGCTGAGGCCCAGTGAGGTTTGGGGCTTCTCTAGGATCAAACAGCACAGATGTGGTAGGCTGGTTTGAACCCTTCCTCCTCTCCCTTCTTCTTCTGACATGGGACCCTGCTTTTCAGCACTGGATGGGGGATACTGGCCGAACCTCCATTCTGTGTCTAGGTGTCATCGAACATCTGGAAGGCTGTCAGACTGTTTTGAGAAGAGTGGTGGCAGCTGGGTGGTGGCTGGGGCAGTAATTCAGAGGGGAAATGTCAGTCTCTCGAGGACGCTGGCATAGGTTGCTCTCTGTGAGGCATCCTGGTCCCTATTAGGTACTGAACAGCACTCAGCCCTCCACCCACCCCTGGCCAAGTTCTCCTGGTCAGGGCAGCCACATGTGTCCCCACACATCTCCTGGGGTCCCCAGTTGATAGTCACCCCCCTTGAGACCATGATGTCCTCCAAGTAAGTTTTCCTAGGCAGCTGTCGTGTGGGGTGAGCAGCTGATAGGAAGGACAGATTGGAGCTTACGTTCTTTTCCCACATTTCCCTGGAATGGAATCCAGGTCCTGTCTTAGGGGAGCAGGTACATAGAGCCCAACTGCTGTGTGCACTTAGCTCCCCCTACTCAGATGTGGAGACAAACAGGAAAAGGTGGAAAAGGTGGGCTCAGTTTGTGGTGAAGGTATGAAGTGCAGGTGGTGTGGCCTTCATTGATGAGGTATCCCAGAGGCAGGAGGGTGCTCAGGGACTTCTGAACCCCAGAAACCCACCCCACAAAAGATGTAAGTTGCTGTTGCTTGGGACCCAGTGAGACACTTGCCATGGGATAGCCCTTCTGGAGGCAGAGGTCAACTGCTGGCATTGCAGCCCCCCACTGCCAGTCAATGGGTCAGTGTCAAAGGTCAAATTGCATCTGGATCAGGAGGAAGAAGAAAGTGAGGGAGGCTGGGGTGGGGGAGGGGTGGGACCCTGACAGCCAGTCAGTTTAGTGACTCCCTGCACCTGTTCCCCTCTGTTGGTGCCTGAGGTGGCAGTAGGGATGGACCCTAGACTAGGTCACTCCAGGCTTCTACAGTGACTCAGGGTTCATTTCCTCCTCCTCCTTATCCTCTCTTTCTTTGCCTTCCTTCTCCTCTTCCATCTCTATCTCCTTCCTCCTCCCTCTCCTCTCTTGCTAACAGTATCTTCCATCCTAATTCATGCCAATCACAGGAGTCCCCAGACCTGGACACAGGTCTGCTGGGACAGACCCATCAAGTGTGAGAACCCTGACCCATAGACTGGTTAACTGTGGAGTCCCCAAAATGCGCCTTCCTCCCTGGGTGACATGGCACAGGCCATCCAGCTCCTCTGCATTCATTTTCATGAGTGTGCCCTCAGAAGTGACCCCCCAGGTCACAGTACACATCAAGTGTGTGCAGCAGAGACCTCGGTGAATCCCATGCTTTGTGAGGCCCAAAATGGGCTGCAGAGGCCTGAGACTCCTCCACCCTGGGGTCTAGCCCAGCACCCACTTTCTAATTAGGTGCCCGGAGGGATCAGGGAGGGGGTGTCTAGAGCAGGGCCTCCCAAGATACAAGATCTGGGCATGGTGACCCTTACATCTGTGGTCCCTGTACCTATGGTGCCCCAGTCTCACTGCTGCATTTAAGTCCAGGCTCAAGATCTACCCTGTAAGGCCTTGACTGCTAATGCCCCAGGCATCAGCCAGGACAGCTCAGGTGGGACGCAGGTCCTGTATCTCTGGACTCCCTTCCCTCACCTACTGTGGGGCATCTGCAAGTCAAGTCACACCCTTCGGCACTGCCATGTCTCCCACCTGAACTCCTCAGCACCGCCAGCCTTGGTTTCTTCTGTGTCTCTGCCTTTTCCCCTCCCACAGGCTCCTTCTGAGGTTCCTCCAGAAAGTCAGGCATGTAAGGGCTGCTGCTTCCTACCCCAGGGAAATAAGCCATCAGAACTCCAGCAGCCTTGACCATGGCCCCAAGATTTAGACATTGTTAGCTGGTGGCTTTACAGGCTGTGGAGGCGCCCTGCCGATGGGCAGGAAGAAGGTGTAGGTGGCTGGGTTTGTTAAGTGGTTTGGCATCGACTTCATCCCCAGCTGTGTAAACTCTTGAGTGGGAACTGCGGGGCAGGTTGGTGCAGGCAGAGGCCTTGCCGTCACGTGTTTACTCCCCAGCCCCTCTCTGGGTCCCCATTTTGCATCGGGATAGCAGAGACGCAAGTGGCACTGCCAGGCAATAGCCCCAGGTCTCAGCCCAGTTGGAGTGCACGCCGAAAGGTTCCAGAACACATCCAAAATTCCCGATGTCTCATTTCATGTCCCACCTTCTGGAGCGAATCTTTGCAACGTGGACCCTCTGCGGTGACTCAAGGCAAGATGCCCTCTCAGGTCCTCTCCTGTACAGGTGTGAAGGGACTCTTAACGGCTTGAAGGGGCCCCTTCTGGTAACCCACAGGTTGCAATTTGTGTTTCCTGCTTGAACAAGGCTTGAACTGGGCTGGCCCAGTCTGGAGGTACTTGAGCCAGTCCGTGGCATTTCCCTGGCTCAGATTTCTGGCTCGATGCCAGCAGCTTCTGCTTGTCACTGCTCTTGCTGTCCAACTACCCTGAGGATGAATTGCAGGTCTGGGAATCCCTGGTTTCCTCTGGGATGTTGGACTTGGGGCCTTAGGGACATCTGAGGCCACTGTTCTGCACCCTCAAAGCGTCTCATTAGCAACTGCCATGGCAGTGCCCTCTGGGAGAGGGAGAGCCACAGCTCCTTGTATCTCCCTGCCAAGAATACTGAGCCAGGTGAGGTGAGCCTGCTTCCAGGTGGATATGCTCCACCCTGGCCATTGTATCTGCCATACTTGCCTTTTAGAGACTTCCCGAGCTGTAGCTGGTCACAGTGTGGCAGAGGAGCCTGGGAGCAGAAGGCCCCGTCTCCTGGCTTTGTCCCTAGCTTCAGTTTCACTACCTGTACAATGGACTCCTGAAAGTCAGAGTGAAAAGATGTTGACAGACCTGACTCTCATAGTGATGTCTTTGCTTCTCAAAGCAGTCTGGGGTCTCACTCCTGTCCCCTGTAGGAGCCCTTTCTCTGATTTATTTTTTCCTTTCATTTATTACTATCTGTGAATGTATGTTTACATGTCCCGAGGAAGCTCTGGAGGTTGTTTTATGGAGTTATTTCTCTCTTTCCACTTTCAAGTGCTTCTTGGGTAGGATCAGGTCACAAGTGCTCACTTAGCCATCTTGCACACTTTTTCCTGGTCTTCGGTTTTGAGACAGTGTCACTCAGTGACCTGGGTAGAACTTGCCATCTTCCTGCTTTGGCCTCCTGGGCACTGGTTACAGATATGTGCCCAGGCTGGCCCAGGACTCCGAAGTCTTCCTTCCTCTGCTGGGGTTAAATGTGTGGCCAGGCCAGCCATTGTGGTCTGGAGTTGATGAGGAGTTGGAAGTCACAGCTGTGAAAGTCCCACCCAGCTGTGCATGGGCCCCCCCCCCCAAGCCCTGACCCTTGTGTGTCAGTTTTCACTTCCTGCCAGTGCTGAGGCCAGGGAGGTACTGTGGCAGGGGCCCTGGAACCTGCAGAGGAATCTCAGCCCCTGGAGCTTCCCGCAGCCACTCTGGCACACCCAGAACTGGGTCACTGTGGCTGGCTGGGTGTTTAGATTTCTTTAAAGCAAATATTTGCCTGGTTGGTCCAGGCCTGCTCAGACAGAGCTGGAGCCCAGTGGCTGTGAGGGGGAGGGAGCTGCTGGGAGGTGGCCAGTCCCAGCATGGACAAGAGGTGGCCTGGAGGATTCTCATCTGGATGATGTCTGTGTGAAGGCCCCTGCGGGTGTCCCCTGTGCACAGTGACAGGATTGGCTTTTCATCTGGAAGCCTCAAGTATTTGTTCATTGCCAGTGATGCCCACAGGGTACTGGATGCCACAGCTGAGGAGAGATATGAGTGGGACAGGCATTCGTCAAGTAAGCATAGTGGAACGTGCTTGGGGACAGCCCAGTGGAGAGGGACAGACTATTGCAGCCATCTCAGGATGGATGGCACGAGAAGATTCCTAAGGACCTATTTCATACTTAGTACTTAGCTGAGATTGGTTTAGAAGTTGGTCAACCTGCTGGGTGGTGGTGGTGCATGTCTTTGATCCCAGCTCCCAGGAGGCAGAGGCAGAGGCAGATGAATCTCTGTAAGTTAGAGGCCAGCCTGAGCTACAGAGAGAGTTCCAGGACAGCCATGACTATTACACAGAGAAATCCAGTCTCAAAAAGCTAGTCAGCCTAAGATGACAAAGTCTGGCACCGAAAGGATGGCATGTACCCCGAGACAGACGCAGTGGACTCTCCCCGTTTGAGGATCTGAGTAAGGACTAGTTTCTCTAGGACACAGTTACGAAGAGGGGGTGTTCAAGAGCTGGAAGGCACAGGAGGGGGTCCTTGAACACCAGAAAACACTGGATTTTTGTTATGCCTCTTACAGCCTGAAGTCCCTGTTAGTCTATCATCTACCACTGAGCCAGGCCCCCAGCCCCTCACTGGGGGATTCTGGGTTGGGGCTCTACCCTGACCACACCCCCACCCCTCACTGAGGGATTCTAGGTAGGGGCTCCACCCCTAAACCACACTCAACTAAGGCATGGAAGACCAGGAAGCGCTTCAGTTGAAGGAGTCTTATGGATCCAGCTGGAGTCCCGCTTTAACTCAGCAGAGCCTTGCTTCTCCTGAGACTAGGGTGAACAAGTTGCAGTAACCTGAGAGACACTTTTGGGTGACAGTGTGACTGCCCAGAATGACTGATTTGGAAGCATCCATGGAGAAGGCAGCTTGTCATGAAGACACCCTCTCTCATGCACTGTCTCCCTCCACAGCTTCTCACTGCCATCACAGGAGTCCCAAAGAATGTCCAGTGGGGTCTCCCCAACTGAGCAGGTGGCGGCCGGCGACATGGATGACACGGCAGCGCGCTTCTGTGTGCAGAAGCACTCCTGGGACGGGCTGCGTAACATCATCCATGGCAGCCGCAAGTCGTCGGGCCTCATTATCAGCAAGGCCCCCCACGACTTCCAGTTTGTGCAGAAGCCTGACGAGTCTGGCCCCCACTCCCACCGTCTCTACTACCTGGGTAAGCTGCCCCCACCCCCACTGCCCTTTGCTGGCAGGCCTGGGGTGCCAGAGGTTTCAGAAGCTACCAGCCTGGGGCAGGCAATGTCAGTCCATTGCCAGGGTCAGCCATTCAGGTGACAGTTCATGGCTGGCCAGGTGGCTCGGAGTCTAGAAACTACTTCCAGCTGGGCCACTTCTCGGGCCTCTGGTGCCGGCTGGGCAGGGCTTTCTGGGTAAACAGGATGGGACTCAGATCCCTGTGGGAAGGTCAGATGCTGTTCCAGTAGGAACTCACTGTGTGGTGATGTGTTATGGCAGATTCCAAGGCTCAAAGATTGGCACCATCTCCGTGTAGTGTGGCTCACCATCCTGCCACAGGACCTGGAGGCACCTGGTCCTGGTCCAGCTGTTGGCAAGCTGTGTTCTCGCTGGGCCACCAGCACCTTGGGTGTGATCCCTCAGGCTTTCCATAGCTTCTGCCTGCACCCAGCCCCAGCTCATAGACAGGAAGTGCCTGTGCCTGGCCCAGCGTATAGACAGGAAGTGTCCGCAGGGCACAGACACTGCCCCACTAGGCCTAAAGGGCCTATAGAGCTAGAAGAAAGAACCTTCTGGAAATCAGCCGGCTTGTTTGCTTGTAAACAGCGTGCTTCCTGGCTGTTGACTAGAGGTATGGTTCCCTTGCACTGTGGACTCCAGCTGGGTCACTTGTGGGTGTCCTAGGCTTTGTATATGCTCACTTTGTGGTGGGACTCCTCAGTGTCACAGCCTTAGACATTGCCCAGGACTCCTGGGGGCTGGTGCCTCCAGTTGAGAAACACTTTTTAGCACAGGTGCCTCTCGTCATCCTCCAAGCCAGTGTAGTTGCTGGTCATGGTGGCCTTGGTCCTGGAGGCCATGTCTGTGCATGTCTGGGTCTCAGCATTTGAATGCATGAATTATTGAACATTGTCACCTGCCTGCTGCTGACCGTACATGGATGACAGGAGCCAAGATGGACACTGGGTGGCCAGTCTCTTCCCACTGTCCCCATACTTCCCCTTCAGAGCTATCCCAGGAGCAAGTCACATGGAATTTTGCAAACCACCAAACCGTAAATGCAGTGATTGAGAACAAGCCTGTTGATCTTGCTATACTGCTGTACTGCTGAGTGACTGTGTGGCAGCTATGAGCCACAACAGCCACGCTCCAGAGACACTGCTGAGTGTTTTCATCACTGCTGGGTCCCCACCTTTCAGTGGTGGCTCCGCCCACTGTTGCATAGTCTCAGCCTGCACCTGCTGAAGGGAAGATGACAGCCAGACTACATTCCTTCTGGAGCTCTGGCAGGACCTTCCTGTCTCTTCTTCCAGCTTGTGAAGTGTGCCGTATCCATCGGCTTGTGATCAAATCACTCCCATCTCTGCCTCCATGATCATATGGCTTACTTCTCTGTCTGAGATCTCCCTTTACCTTGGTTTTCTGAGGATACCAGTAGCTGTAGAGCATTAATTAGTACAGCCATAGCCACAGAGCCCTGTCTCCATAAAGACAGTGACTTTTGAATTCAGGCCCAGGACACAGCTGTTTCTTTCTCTGAGGAGACATCTCAGCTTCCCAGGACCATGGGAAAGGACAGAACTCTCTGAGCCACAATGTGCACCTGGTACCAGGGACCTGGGGATGGCTCAGAGAGTCAGGACATAAAGCCACCAGCTTCAGGATGAGGCACCTGCAACCCAGAGCCTCATGAGACCATGACTTTGTCTCCAGGCTACCTCTTTCAGGGTCCATGCCGGAACCTTAGCTATTTTCCTACCAGCAGTGGGAATTGACCCTATGGCTCCAGGTTCCTGGGAGAAGAAATCTGATTGTCCCAGCCTGGGTTCTGTGAACCTTTCACCCTGGCTCCTGTGGCCTTGGAGTAGGGTTGCAAATTCTCAGCCCCCTTCTTCCAGGTCTCTGGAAGGAGTCTGTGCCTTGTTGACTTGAGCATGTAGACTGGGGTGGGCAGGGCCTTGAGCTTGTAGGGTTTCTGGAGAAGGAATCTCATTGGCTTAACTGGACTACTCAGTCATCTTGTCTGGCTTGGGTAGGCAGGGCTTCTTGAGGTCTTAAGGTTTCTGGGAGAAAGAATGAAATTGGCCCAGGTGGTGGTTGTTCACATGTGGCTTGTACATGTGTGTCTCCTCAGGGTTCAGCACAGAGTGCTGGGGGTCTTCATGGGACTGGAGGGCCACAGATGAATGTGTAGTGAAGACAGACCCCCAAACACATGCAGAGGAGACTAGAACTCTGTGGACATGGCTGCTTCTCTCCAGTCAACCTGTGGTCTCACTAACTGCTACTTGATAGTACTGGCCTCAGATCGCCTCCTGGTTCCTCCAAGTTCTTTATACCATGTCCTTGTGCCAGGTGGTACCCAGGATTAGGTGGGGGCATGGCAGATTCCCTGGCTGATGCTTCCCTGTTGCCCTAAGAATGTGGCCGAGGACCTCTATGTCCTCATGGGCCCATGTGGGGCATGGAGAGTCCGTCATGGGTCCTCTGTGAGGGATGGGCTGAGCCCTGAGAGGACCTACTGGCCCTGGCTAGTAGCCCATTCCATTGCTAGCAGCACCTCTGTCATGGCAGGGAGGCCTAGAGACCTGGACTCTTGGGTTCAAGATGTATTGAGCACTCTAGTCCAGCTTGGTCCCCACCAGGCTGGCCAAGTCCACACTCCTTGGTGTCTAGAGTCAGTGTGGGTGTGGGACCAGGGTACCTACCATGCCTGGGGCTGGGCAGGGTGACCAGGGCGCACATGTGTGAGGGCAGAGCCGGTAAGTTAGGTGAGGCAGCCAAGGTAAAGAGAGGACATCACCAGTCAGCTCTACCTTCGCACCAATGCTAGGCATTGTGGGCTGTGGTGCCAGCACTGTGGGCCCATCCAGGAATGCATTGGCCCGGGCCATTGGTGTAATTGCTTGTTAATCAGCTGTGGAGGGTGGTGGCTTTGATGTCCTTGGCACAGACTTGCCTTGGACTTCCTTTTCGAAAGCCCCAAGGGCAGCAGGCCACTGCTGGGGAACAGCCATCCCACAGGCTCAGCGTGGGCCTTTCAGTAGGACTGAGGGACAGTCACACCTTACAGTGTCTCACTCCCTACATTTCTTAATTATTTGTGTGTGGGGGGTCATATGCTGTGGCACATGTGTAGAGGTCAGAGGACAGCTTGTGGGAGTTTGCTACTCTCCTTACATCGTGTGGGTTCCAGGACTCAAACTTAAATCATCAGTCTTGGTGGCAAGTCCCTGTATCCACTAGGCCTCTTACTGGCCCTGTGTCATATTCTTTTTTTTTTTTTTTTTTAAAGATTTATTTATTTATTTTATGCACTATCTGCATGTATGACTATGCCAGAAGAGAGCATCAGCTCTCTCTATAGATGACTGTGAGCCACCATGTGGTTGCTGGGAATTGAACTCAGGACCTCTGGAAGAGCAGCCAGTGCTCTTAACCTCTGAGCCATCTCTCCAGCCCCTGTGTCATATTCTTAAAGGTGTGAGGCCCAATAGCGTACGCCTTTAGTCCCAGCACTCAGGAGAGGCAAATGGATCTCTGAGTTCAAGGCCAGTCTGAGCAACGGAGCAAGTTCCAGAACTGCCCGGGCTACAGTGACCCTGTCTCAGAAAACCAAACAGTCCTGGCAAGCTGTAGAAGTGGAGTAAGGCAGAGGTCATGTGTCCTGCAAGCCACCAAAGAGACGCCGCATTCTTGAGCTACCAAGCGCCCCGAATGTGCCTGGACTGTTCTGGACTCAGAGGAGCATCAGGGCTGGTCCCCAGCCTTCTTGACCACAGAGGGGAAGTTGAGGCATGCTGGAGCTAGCCAACCCCTGCTGACCACTTAACTGATAATGACAATGCTGCTACATTCCATGGGATTGCCCAGCACTGTGACCTGAGATTCCCCATCTGTGGGGGACACACTTGTCCCTTGTCATCCCAGCTCTTGGGAAGTGGAGGCTGGAAGAACAAGAAGAATTCAGGATTATCCTTGACTACATAGCCAGTCAGAGACCAGCCTGGGCTACAGGACACTCTCACCCGAAGGGGATGCATACATGCAGCTACCACTGAACTGTGGAGTAAGAGGGGCTGGCTCATGCTCACAGCCTGGTGCCCAGCCCCCGAGATGCCCAGGGATCCGCTACAAAGAGCTTGATAGCTTCTATGAGAGATTGACCCAGCCATGGAGACTGCTGCCTCCTGAGAAGATGGAGGGAACTCTCGATCGACACAAGCAGTTTCCTGTCCCTAGTCTGTTGCACATTTTCCCTCAGTGACCATTCATGTCTTTCAGTCAGGGTCCAAATCCAGATGTGCTCAGAGGTGATGCCCATAGGAGCCTTGGGCAGGGCCTGAGGAGGGGCATCCCTCCCTCCTCTCCCTGTGTGTTTGCCTTACTTTCATCTGAAACTGGTTTAGTCCTTCGTCTTTGCCAGCATCTCTCATACAGAGGAACCTTTTAGAGCAGTGGTTCTCAACTTGTGGGTTGCAACCCACACAGTGGTCACATCAGACATCCTGCATATCAGATATTTACATTATGATTCAGAACAGTAGCAAAATTAGAGTTATGAGGTAGCAGTGAAAATAATGATATGGCTGGGGGTTCACCACAACATTGAGGAACTAACTGTATTAAAGGGTTGAAGCATCAGGAAGGTTTTGAGAACCACTGCTCTCGAGCCACACCTGACTGTAGGAGAGCTGAGCTCTTCCATCGCCCTCTCTGACCTCCAGTGGATGCTACAACCACTGGGGCCTGAATCTCAGGGTGGGAGAGCCTGAAGAAAGCAGACAGCGGGGCCAGGGTGACTGCTCAGTGGGTAAAGTGCTGGCTGCACAAGTGTGAGGACCCAAGTTCAAATCCCCAGCACCTGTGTCAAAGCCAGGTATGCTGACTGGCCTGTCACCCTGGTGCCGGTGCTTCGTAGGGGAAGACAGGAAGGGATCTGGGGCTCACTGGCCAGGTCGCTGAGTCAGTGGGAGGCCATGTCTCAAAAAAGACAGAGTCCCAGGCATGGTGGTCATTCTGGCACTGGGGAGGTAGAGGCAGGCAGATCCCTGTATGTCCAAGGCAGAGACAGGGGAGACACCTGATGTCCATTCTGGCTTACCCATGCACATAGTGATAGACATGGGGGCTCCAATTAGAAACAGAGAGTGCCATGGCCTGATGCCCTCTCAGGTGGGACCCCCACTCTTGAGGTTTCTCTGACCCCTTCCTCAGGAATGCCCTATGGCAGCCGTGAGAACTCCCTTCTCTACTCTGAGATCCCCAAGAAGGTACGGAAGGAGGCCCTGTTGCTGCTCTCCTGGAAGCAGATGCTGGACCACTTCCAGGTGAGCCATCTATGCCACACCCAGCTTCCGGGAACAGAGTTCTGACCAGGACACTTATCAGACCATTTCTCCCTCCTATCTGCACCTTCAAATGAGGGCTGACTCATGGCCTGGCTAATGATTAATACCACTGCCCAGAGGTGCCCAGTGAAGGGGACTCCCTGGCATGGCTGCACTTTGTGGCTTTTGTGGCTTTAGCATCGACTCAGAGGGAGCAGTAACATTGTCACAGTGGCATGCCTGAGACCCTCTTCTTGCCTACTCACTCCCAACTTAGTTCCTGGATAGCCTTCCGCTCAGCACAGTGCTGGGAATGGAACCCAGGTTTTCACACTTGCCTTGTCCACGCCCCAGCTCTGAGCTGCACTCTGGCCCAGTTCTGAGGCTCAGGGCATGGATCACTCAACCGAACACAGGAAGCCCTGGGTGCCATCCTGTCACTAAAAACCAGGCGTGACAGTGCAAGCCTGTCAGGGTTATATTCTGCCAAGTAGTGAATTCCAGGCTAGCCCGGGCCACGTGGGTCCAGGTAGCTTTGGTTAGAGAAACCATGAATGTGTTCTATAGGTAGAGCTATGGATTCAGATGGAATGTTCTCATCAGGAAGGGGTGGGGGAGCGCCCCAGAGGGCATCAGCACGGGCAGGGGCAGGATGTCACCACCCGTAGTAAAGATGGGGATGAGGCGCCGGGCGGTGGTGGTGCACGCCTTTAATCCCAGCACTCGGGAGGCAGAGGCAGGTCTGAGGCCAGGTCACAGAGTTCGAGACCAGCCTGGTCTACAAGAGCTAGTTCCAGCACAGGCTCCAAAGCCACAGAGAAACCCTGTCTAGAAAAAAACCAAAAAAACAAACAAAAGACAACCCTCCCCACCCCCCAAAAAAAAGATGGGATAGGGGAACATCACGACTTTGCGGCCAACATGAAATGTCCTGTGTCACAGTGGGGAACTGAGTGAGACCCTGTCCCCTGTGTCCCCAGGCCACACCTCACCATGGTGTCTACTCTCGAGAGGAGGAGCTGCTTCGCGAGCGTAAGCGCCTGGGTGTCTTCGGTATCACCTCTTACGACTTCCACAGTGAGAGTGGCCTCTTCCTCTTCCAGGCCAGCAACAGCCTGTTCCACTGCAGGGACGGTGGCAAGAATGGCTTCATGGTGAGACACAGCCGGCATCCCCGGGGTGGAGACACGGTGCCAGCACCCTGACCCAACCCTTCCTGTCCCCAGGTGTCCCCTATGAAGCCACTGGAGATCAAGACCCAGTGCTCTGGGCCACGCATGGACCCCAAGATCTGCCCTGCAGACCCTGCCTTCTTCTCCTTCATCAACAACAGTGACCTGTGGGTGGCCAACATTGAGACTGGGGAGGAACGGCGGCTCACCTTCTGTCACCAGGGTGAGGCTTGGACATGGATAGGGGTGGACAGTCGGCCTGGCCACATCAGCTTGTTCTGGAAATGGCTATTGTAGCTGTCAGCCCAGCTTCTAGAATCTGCCCCTGCTGTTCAGTGATGCGCTGTGCCTTGGACACCCAGCCCTTAAAAGCCAGTTGCAGTGTCCAGCCTGTGTGGCATTTGGCCCTGAGTTCCTGACTTAGTGGTTGTCAGGAGCCTGTGTGTCACTCAGAGTGTGTCCTCCCCCAGGCTGTGTGTCACTTAAAGTGTGTCCTCCCCCAGGCTGTGTGTCACTTACAGTGTGTCCTCCCCAGGCTGTGTGTCACTCAGAGTGTGTCCACCCCCTAGCTGTTTGTCACTCAGAGTGTGTCCTCCCCAGGCTGTGTGTCACTTACGGTGTGCCCTCCCCAGGCTGTGTGTCACTCAGAGTGTGCCCTCCCCAGGCTGTGTGTCACTCAGAGTGTGCCCTCCCCAGGCTGTGTGTCACTCAGAGTGTGCCCTCCCCAGGCTGTGTGTCACTCAGAGTGTGCCCTCCCCAGGCTGTGTGTCACTTACAGTGTGCCCTCCCCAGGCTGTGTGTCACTCAGCATGTGCCCTCCCCAGGCTGTGTGTCACTCAGCGTGTGTCCTCCCCAGGCTGTGTGTCACTTACGGTGTGCCCTCCCCTAGGCTCAGCCAATGTCCTAGATGATCCCAAGTCTGCAGGTGTGGCCACCTTTGTCATCCAGGAGGAGTTTGACCGCTTCACCGGGTGCTGGTGGTGTCCCACAGCCTCATGGGAAGGTAGGCTTTGCTCACCTGGTCTGCTATTCCTATAAACCACATTTCTGGAGACAGGAGAACACTGGGCAACCCATAGATATCAGAGCCACACTCCCACCCCCTCACTGGGGAATTCTAGATAGGGCTCCACCCTGACCCCACCCCAGCCCCTCACTGTGGTATAGTACACTTCCAGGACATGTGGACATGTGAGTGTGTGTTTAGGTTACATGACCAAGTCGCCTTGACTGAGTGGCATAGACAGCAGAAATGTGTGGTCCCACACTGGCCTCTGGGTTCTGGGTGCAGTGTGACACAGCTGGCTTTTCCTAAGGCTCTGGCACACTCCCCATGTCCTCCATTGCCCTGTGTTTATGAGTACTCCTGTCATACTGGCCCTGGATACCCCCTGACCTCCGTCATAGACACAGCACAAAGGTAAGGTCTTAGACTAGAGCTTGAATTACATGGTTTCAGGGCCCAGCTTGACTCTACACCCTAAGTGGGTGTCTCGGTGCCACTTCGTGCTGGTTCCTGTGGTCCCTCGGAGGCTCAGAGCCCCTGTGTGGTGTGGGGTGGGTGCCCTGAGTACCTGCTCCTTGCCTCCAACCAGGCTCTGAAGGCCTCAAGACACTGCGTATCCTGTATGAAGAAGTGGACGAGTCTGAAGTGGAGGTCATCCATGTGCCCTCCCCTGCCCTAGAGGAGAGGAAGACTGATTCCTACCGCTACCCCAGGACAGGTGGGTTCCAGCGGCAAGGTCACCTGCTGCCATGAGGCCTCTGTATCGCAGCTGGTGCACATCTGCCCTCTGGGGTCCCCTCTGCTGGCTTTGTTAGGTCCAGAAAGTGTGGCAGCATTTTCCAACTGTCCGACGCCACATCTTGGGCATCTCCACGCAGGGCAGCCACAGGCAAGCAGACTGAGCCTCATGGAAGATGCTAAAGTATAGTGGTGCCTCTGAGGCAGGAGGTTTATGAGTTCAGGCCAGCCTGGGTTACACAGTGAACACCTGTCAAAAAAAGAAGTGAGCTGAGCCCCTGTTTCTTTGGTGTCTCAAGGTGTTAGAAGCCTTGCACCAGCAGCAGCCCAGACCAGCCTAGTTCAACCTCAGACCTGCTGCTGTGCCTCTGTGGGAGTCACTTGAACTGAGGCTTAGTGGGGACAGAACTCCCTGTGGGCACAGAGCCCCAGGCTCCATCCCCAGAACCACAAACTGGGTGTGTATAGGGGACACCAGTTATTGTTTCTAGAGGCAGAAGAATCAAGAGTTTAGGGTCAGCCTCAGTTTTATAGGAGATTCTGGGCCAGCCTGGGCTACATGAGACCCTATGTCACGAAATCAAATAAAGAAAACAGACTGCCAGCCAGGCGTTGGTGGCGCACGCCTTTAATCCCAGCACTCGGGAGGTGCTGATCTCTGTGAGTTCGAGGCCAGCCTGGTCTCCAGAGCGAGTGCCAGGATAGGCTCCAAAGCTACATAAAGAAACCCTGTCTCGAAAAACAAAAAGAGAGAGAGAGAGAGAGAGAGAGAGAGAGAGAGAGAGAGAGAGAGAAAGAAAACAGACTGTCGTTGTACACACACAGTAAGCCCTCCCAGGTGCTGTGTGGGTGGGACCTAGGCTTCCCATGGGACATCTGTGGGATGATCCACACTTACCCGGTTCTTGAGGAAACTGAGGCTCAGGTAAGGTGGAGTCCTAGTCAGGTATCCCATGTTATCCTGTGCCAGGGCCTGAGCCATCTCCCAGAGAAATCCAGGATCTGTCCTAAGCACCCTAAGAAAACAGCCCCAGTGACATCCTACCTCTTAGAAGTGTGGGTGAATGCCCCAACCTGTGGCTGCTGCCTCCCCAGGGCTGGGTCTTTCTGTGTGTGGTGGTATGTCCTGTCCTTGTCCCCAGCTCCTGGACTGCACAGAGGTAGGGACAGGGCCATGTCCCTTCTGTGTTGTGTTCCCTTTTCAGCTTCCAGGTGACAAAATAACACATCATGTATTCCGTTAGGAATGTGGTCCAGGCCCTGGGTCAGATTGTCCCTGCCCTGGAGACTTTGTGTCACACCTGGGAGGGGCCGTGCCAACTCCCCACAGGTGTGGTCACACAGTCCTTGACCAGGGTGGTCACTAGCATCCTGGCACTTACCTGGCCTTCTCCCAACAGGCAGCAAGAATCCCAAGATTGCCCTGAAGCTGGCTGAGATCCAGACGGACACACAGGGCAAGGTAAGAAATAGCTGAGCACATTCTGTGGTAGTGTGGAATAGCCAAGTGGCCTCACCTGTATCCTGTGATGACCACAGCCTAGAACACTGTGGGTCAGATTACCAGAGTGCCAGTCCTCAGGTCACTGCATTGAGGTCATCTCACGTTAGACAGGACAGTGTGCTGGGTCCTTCTCTGCCCCCCTCCTCCCTGGCATTGTTCACTTAGAGGCACTGAGAAGGGCCTTGCAACCCCAGAGTCTGTGACAAGCAGCAAGGGCAATGGTCACTGGTAAGAGGCCTTTGGTGAGTGCAACCTGCCTCTTTCCTGCCTTCACTGTGCCATGCATTCTCCATCCAATGAGAGCTGCTGCTGACTCTCCTGAAGTCCAGGTCACCAAGAGTGTGTGACATTGAAAGTTCCTGGGACAGCACCTGGGCGCAAAGCTGTGTGACCCTTGCTGATGGGGACACCAGGCAGGCAGGGTTCATGTAGTTGTAGAGCCTGGCCTTGGGATTTGGTCCTTACATTGACTGTGTGTGAACGTCAGAGGACAGCTTGTGGGGGTCAGCTCTCTCCCTCCACCGTGTGGGTTCTAGCAGTCAAACTCAGGTCATCAGGCTTGGTGACGTGAGCCCTTCCTGCTGAGCTACCCTGCTGGCCCCCAGCAAGGTTTCGAAAAAGCTTTCCTAACATGCAGGGAAAGTGTCCGATGGACTCCGCTCCTTTGTTATTTGCACGGCACGGCTTTTCTTTATGCATATTAGTCCCTTGTACAGTCTCTTCAGGACACTCCACCAGCATCACCTGTGATGTGGGCCACCACCCAACAGGCTTTGGTGGTTTTTTGTTGTTTTCTTTTTAAAATGTGTATGAGTGCAGTTCCCACAGGGGCCAGAAGGGGGCATCAGGTACCCGGGAGCTGGAGTTACAGGCAGACATGAGCTGTCCTGTGGGCGCTGGGAACTAAGGACTCAGCTGCTGCCTCATCCTTGGCCAGAGCCAGGGCCTCTGCCACATACAGAGCTATGTGCACTGTGAGCTGGGTGAGGGCTTCAGTTGCTGAGCTGTGACCCTGCCTCCCTTTCTCCCCATCATCCATTCCCTCCTCAGCTGGCCTAAGACCCTTTCAATTCCAGAGATGATCCATCTGGATGTGGCAGGGAGCACAGTGTGCTGTTGTCTTTCTATCTTCCTGTCCATCGTTACACCCCCCCCCTGCTGTGCCCCTTTGGAAGATGCCACCTCTACAGCCACACGTTTGTGGCTTTGACAGCAGAGGTGCCCTGTCGGCAGCCATACAGGCTAAGGGTCCCAGGGTCGGCATTCCCTCTGAGGGCTGGACAGGGTCTGTCCCAGCAACTCAGGTGACCACATGTCCCAAGTATCAGTGGACGTGTGTGTGTGTGTGTGTGTGTGTGTGTGTGTGTCTGTCTGTCTGTCTGTCTGTCTGTCTGTCTATCTTTTCCTTGCATCTCTCCTTTGTAAGATATACCATGTTGGATTAGGGTCCCACCCAGTGTGACGTCCACCTCACCTATACACCTCAGGGGGCTGTATGTGTGCATGCATGCCCACCTTCCTTTCTTAAGATTTATTTATTTTTATTTTTTTGAGATAAAATCTCTCTTTGTTGTCCTAGCTGTCCTGGAACTCCCTCTGTAGGCCAGCTTGATCTCGAACTCACAGAGATCCACCTGTCTCTGCCTCCCAAGTGCTAAGATTAAAGGCGTGCGCCACCACCACCCGGCTATTTATTTGTTTTTTATGTGCACTGTGTGCATGCAGTGCTCATGTAGGCCAGAAGAGGGCGCCAGCGCTCCTGAAACTGGAGTTCTAGCCTGTTAGACACTGTGTATGTGCTGAGTGTCAAACCATCAGGACACTGGAGATCAGGGAGGCTGTGGTATTGTGTGTGACATGGCCCTGTCTCCCCAGATCGTGTCGAGCTGCGAGAAGGAACTGGTGCAGCCATTCAGCTCCCTCTTCCCCAAGGTGGAGTACATTGCTCGGGCTGGCTGGACACGGGATGGCAGATAGTGAGTATCCTGGGACCCACCCGGGGACCCACCAGGGTGGAGCTTGGTGCCTGCACCCATGCCGTTTCCCTTGGGGTCTCTCCCAACCTCAACCAGTAGATCTACAAAGCTGGGGACTTGACATCAGGTCAGTCTAACCAAAGTCCCAATGGTGGGACAATCCCAGGTAGTCCACATTAGAAACAACCACCAGACCTCTGACAGGACACAGGAATGCCTCCAAGTCCCTTGGGGTCCTGTGCTTTTTCCATGGTTAGGACAGAATGCAGAGACAGTCTTGCTTACCACTTCCTCGTCTTCCTTTTCTCTTATTGTGTAGTCCGGGCTGACCTAGAACTTTGTTTGTAGTCAAGGATAAGCCTGAACTCCAAATCCTCCTGCGTGTACCTCCCACTGCTGGGATGACAGGTGCATGGCCATGCCTGGCAAAACCATTCCAAATAAAAACTTTAAAAGACGTGGGGCACAGAGCGGTCTAGCATGCACAAGGCCCCAGGTTCATGCCCAGCACCAGAAAGAATATTGTCCATTTAGTTAATGTTGGTCATGATGGCACAGACTCACACCATTCCAACTCTGACAGTGGAGGCAGGAGGATCAGGAGTTCAGGGCCATCCTCAGCTACCTAAGACCTTAGCTTCAAAGAAAAAAAAAAAGTCACCTATTCAATTTGAGAATTCCATCCCAGGCCTAAGTCATGTGGACTGTGTGACTGGAGCCTCACCCAATCTGTTCAGAGTTACCAGTGTAATCTGTACCAGTTATACCTCCTCCACACCCTGAGTAGCCATGGTCAACTCCAGCAAGGCTAGACAGGGAATGGCCCTGTGTGGTCCTGTCCTCTGCTCTCCCCTGCCAGCCACTGACTGCTCCTGCTGCCTCCTCTTTTATCCTTCCAGTGCCTGGGCCATGTTCCTGGACCGTCCCCAGCAACGGCTCCAGCTTGTCCTCCTGCCGCCAGCCCTCTTTATCCCGTCCCCTGAGAACGAGGCCCAGCGGCAGGCAGCTGCTAGAGCTGTCCCCAAGAACGTGCAGCCCTTCGTCATTTATGAAGAAGTTACCAATGTCTGGATCAATGTAAGCGGGAACCCACTGTTCCCGCACCATGGTCTCCAGTGGGCCACTGGGCCGGACTTGGGGGTCTGACCAGCTGCAGAGTCCTCTGACCCAATCATCTCTCCCTGCAGGTCCATGACATCTTCCACCCATTCCCGCAGGCCGAGGGCCAGCAGGATTTCTCCTTCCTCCGTGCCAATGAGTGTAAGACTGGCTTTTGCCACCTGTATAAGGTTACTGTGGAACTTAAAACCAGTGACTATGACTGGACGGAACCCCTCAGCCCCACAGAAGGTGAGCAGAGCATCTGTCATTTAGGACGCAGGGATGGGGAGGAAAGAGTGACCACACCCTGCCCCACCCTGCCCTGTGCCTTTGGCAGCAGTCAACTAAGAATCTGTTGACTGACTAGGTGGGGCTTCCTAAGCACCTGTGCAGGGGGCCCTTGATGCCACCGAGGCATTAGAGTTCGGCACATGCATCACTGTCACTGCTGTGTGCTACCTGCATTTTGTTTTACCTTGTCATTTTCCTGGTGTGTAGCCATACCTGCTTGTTTCTAGTTTGCCTGTTGCCCATGTTTGTGTCCCAGCCTCGGTCATCTGTCTCAGAGCTTCCTTGACCTCAGAGTGACTCCAGGGGCCAAGGATGCCACTGTCTGAGAAGGGACATGGTGTGTGGTGGTGCACTCCAGTGACCCCAGACTCACACAGCTGAGGCTGGAGGGGCAAGGTCTGTCTGAAAAGTCAAGCAAAGTGTGTTCTCCCGAAAGACTAGTGGAGTGGGTGGTAGTGCGAGAGTGATGGTAGATGCCGTCTCTGGCCTTGGGGGACATAGAGAAGGTAAATGTGGCAGAGCACGGAGAAGAATAAGGAACACTGTTCCAAATGTGAGCCAGTGTCTCAGTGACATGCCACTGCAGAGATCTGACAGGGACTAGGAATGCACAAGCGTGGTGTATTCTCATCAAATGCTTGAGGCAGTGGTGCAGCCGTGCAAAATCCTGGGGCAGGGATGCAGCCGTGCAGAGGGCTGGGGCAGGGGATGCAGCCGTGCAGAAAGGCAGTGTGCAGGACAGAGCATGCAGTGTTGGAGAAGCCTGGATGAGGTGCAGGGAGGTAGAGCGGGGGCTGGGGAAACCACACCATTAGGCTGCTGAGAGGACTTAGCTCACGGGCTTTGACCCTGAAGGAAGTAGGAAGTGGTTGGTTCTAACATCAGTGTGGAGTGACTGGGTTTCTTTGGGGCTGAGGACGAGAGTTGCAGAGAGTGAATAGAATCTGGTCACAGTCAAAGCCAGAGCTGTCCCAGTGGTCTTGACCGGAGATGTGGTCCTTGGTGATGCTCTCTCCCAGTGCGACGGGCACACGGTGCCTAGTATGACTTGGGGTCCAGTTGGGGCTACAGAGACACTAGGGCCCATCAGGGGAGAGGAGCTCGCAGTGTTTTGGAGCCAGCGGCTTGAGTCACTGGGTTTGAATAGACTATGCTTCTAGAAGAAATTCAAGGCTCTTAGGGTGATGGCAGGTGAGCTCCAGGGCCTGGGGGCACTTCCGGGCCGTTCTTGAGAGGGTTCCATAGACCGTCAGGGCTGAGGTCACAGCCTGTACAATGGATCTGCGTCTTCTGTCTCAGGGCCTTTGCACAGGCTGTGGCCTCAGCTCAGGACCCAGGTCCAGCTTCCACGGGCTCCATTCAGGGAGCAGCATCCCCACCTGTGCAGCTCCCTCAGTGTGACAGCTGCACATTTCCCCAGGCATCACTCAGGACGACTCGTCTTCAGTGAGCACCACAGGTCAGAGGTGGCACCCACAGCGGGCTGTGGCAGCCGTGGGCTCAAGGGACAGAGATGTTGAGACAGCATCTCTGAGGGCCAGGAGCCACAGGAAGTCCAGGCCTCATGTCCCAGCTGCTGTGGTACTGAGTGACTCAAAGCTCAGGTTGGTGTTGACTGGGGCTTCTGTCTCTGTCCCCCTGGCATTGACCTCGGTGTCACAGGGATGTCACCAACACTGACCTGTACTCTGCTGGGGCACCACCACTGCACTCTTCCTCCAGCTCGTGGTTGTCCAGCCCAAGACCCAGGTGCCAGAGTGCCCCAGCTCACAGGCTTACCCGGCACCAGCATGCCCCTCCTGGCATGATGGGATGGCAGCTGAGAGTCTGAGCAGGCAACACCTAAGGAAATGGGAGGGACATTCAGAAGGGTTACCATGGGCAGGGGCTGAGTTGATACAGTGTCCACCTGATATACAGGAAGCCACGGTCTCCGTCCCCAGCACCACAGAAACCATGTATGGTGGAACGTCAGATGGAGGCTTGAGGATCAGGACTGCAAGCTCATCCTTGGCTACTTAGTGAGCTTGAGGCCAGCCTGGGCTATATGAGACCCTGTCTAAATGGGAGGAGTGGTTCAGTGGTTAGAGCACCTGCTGCTCTTGCATAGGACCTGGGTTTGGTTTCCAGCATCTAAACAGCTCAAAACTGTCTCTCCAGTTCTCCGAGTCCTGTGCCCTCTGCGTGCCTCCACAGGCACTGCACACACACACGGTGCACAGGGACATACCTGCACACTGGAAGTAAAAGTTAGAACATGAAGAAGGGCTGTGGAGGATAAAGAGGCTGGCATGATGAGGAAGAATGTGGCTTTGGAAGGACACACCAGGAGGTGGGGTGGATCTAGGTGACATGGCTGTGATGACAGCAGATAAGTAGGTCACTGGAGGTGACCGCTGGTGCTGAGATGCAGATGCACAGCCTCAGATCTGAGGCTCAGGCAGGATGGAGCAGAGGGGCAGGGGTGGTGGCCCTATGTTTGGGCGGGGATTGTGAGGGCTAGCCTGGGCAATGGTAGATCTCCTGGTGGCCTTAGACTAGAGACACACAACAGGAAAGCCCCCCCCCCCCCCCAAGCTGCCCCAGTCCAGTGTGATGTGCCGTAGCAAAAGCCTGGTCTCTGCCTGGTGGGCAGGTCTGGGGACAACAGGACATGGTTCTGTTCCTTGATGGTGGTTTTGCTCTTGAGAAGGGGGTCTCACTGAGATCTCCTGCCTCTGTCTCCAGAGGGCTAGGATGTGTGCCGCCATGCCTCGTTGCCTGATGGAAGCCTGGTTCTGGTGGCCCAGCATGATCTAGGAGGTGAATGGCCACTTATGTACTTCAGTGCTGGAAGTCAGCCTTCCTGGCTGTTCTCTGAAGCACTGGCTGATCCCAGTTGCCCCTTAGGCCAGGCTGGGCACTGGGTGTGACCGTGCTTCCCTTGGCTGCAGAATTTCTGGGTCCCACCCCCTTCCTGCTTCTCTCACCTCTGCTCTCCCTCCCACAGATGAGTTTAAGTGCCCAATCAAGGAGGAGGTTGCACTGACCAGTGGCGAGTGGGAGGTCTTGTCTCGCCATGGCTCCAAGGTACCATTGTCCCATCCTCCTGCCCTGTCAGGCTCCTCCCCCATCTCTTATGGCTCCGCCTCCAAATGCGGCTCCTGGGTACTGTTCTCCCCACTCTCTCTCCTGTGGCCGGCTCCGCCCTCCCAGGGTCCCTAGGACACCAATATTCTCAGCATGGAGGCCTCTGTGGGGAGGCCTGTTCCATCCCAGTGCTGACCTGGGGCCCTGAAGCCGCCTCCCTCTCCCCAGGACGGCAGTTCTGTGATCCTGTGCTGAGGGCCAGCCAGCCTACACCCACTCTTGTGGGGAACTCCTAGTTATGGTGGCTGCACGTGTCCAGACAAGTCACCCAGGGTCCCCCCCAAGCAAAGAACCAGATTTAAATTTTTTAAATCTGCTTTGTGGATTTCTATTTTTTATTCATTTTTTAACTTTGCAGCTCGGGGTATAGCACCAGTGTCCTCATGAGTGTTCGGCAAGTTCCCCTGAGCTTACACCAGCTGCACATACTTGGAGACGCTCTGAGTGCCCATCCTGGTGTGACCATGTCCCCACCTCGGTTGTCACAGACAGGACTTCTTCATATGGTTTTGAACCTTTTACTCTGAAACTGAGGAAAACACGAGGCCAAAACATTGTCAGAGTCCGAGCACAGTATTGCTTGTGGGCCTGTCATCCTAGCACTCGGGAGCCAAGGAGGGGAGAGTCTTCATGTTTAGACTAGCCTGAGCCACACAGCAAGCCTTGGCCCAAAAATCAAACAAACAAACATATTTTTTTATTTTTTGAGAAAAAGTCTCAGGTAGCCCAAGCTGGCCTTGAACTCTCTATATAGCTGATGGTGACCTTGAACTCCTGATCCCCCCCCCCAAGTGTTTGGTGACAGGCGTGCTCCACCATACCCAGCTAATGCGGTGCTGCAGATGGAGCCAGGGCCTTGTGCATGCTGGAGGAGCTCTCCACCCCACAGAGGCCTGTCTTTCATGCTCTGCCTTCAGTCTATTGTGCTGCAGGGTTGCTGTTGGCTGGGGCACCAAGGGGCTCCCCCGATTGCAGTCCCTGGGAACCGGTGATAGGGCAGGAAGTGTAGCCAGGCACAGCTGGTCACAGAAGCCCCCCCAATGCCTGCAGATCTGGGTCAACGAGCAGACGAAGCTGGTGTACTTCCAAGGCACAAAGGACACACCCCTGGAGCATCACCTCTATGTGGTCAGCTACGAGTCGGCCGGTGAGATTGTGCGGCTCACCACACCCGGCTTCTCCCACAGCTGCTCCATGAGCCAGGTAGGCGTGCCACACTCCTGCCCACCCCAGCCTCCCAGGGTCAGGGAGGATGGAAGAGAGGAGGTTGTTCTAGTCCACGGCCCTAACATTCTAGAAACCGGGTCGCTCTCCATCCATCGAGTATGAGGCCAGGGTCCTTGGCCTGGGACTGGCCCTCACTGGGCTGTTTCCTCATTTGCAAAGGGTGGTGGCGATGACCTGCGGGTGGGCGGGGTTGTACGGTGTCTCTGTGGAAGGCAGGAGGCTGCTCTTGTGCACTGAGTGCCACCCTGCCACCAGCAGAACTTCGACATGTTCGTGAGTCACTACAGCAGTGTGAGCACACCACCCTGCGTGCACGTGTACAAGCTGAGCGGCTCTGATGATGACCCACTGCACAAGCAGCCACGCTTCTGGGCCAGCATGATGGAGGCAGCCAGTGAGTAGTGAGACCTCAGGGACTGCCCCCTACCAGCCAGGACCCAGGGCAGAGTTTGACAGCCAGGGCTCCCAGTGCAGGTGCAGAGAAGACAGAAAAGCTTGCTTTACAGCAAGCAAGGTTCCCTGCGTCTCTCTGCCCCACCTCTCCTGATTTGCCATGGGTGCAGATGCAGGCACAGGTGTCTGGTAGCCACCCTGGCACCCTGGGGCAACCTCTGTGACAGTACCTTGGAAACCAGATGTCTGAAAGCTGTAGTTTTGTCAGGGAGCTCAGCGTAGGTCACCAGAGGGGCCTCAGAAAAACAGTTGTAAGAAACGGCCTCGGAGCCTGAGGTCCAGCGCACCCTCTGCCTGAGTACCGTTGAGTTCCGGTTTCAGCACACGAGACTTTGAGTGCTTGTCAAGCCATGTTCCAGAGGCATGCCTTGGAAAGACCTCGAATAGTAGCTGGGGCTCAATGGCAGAGTACTAGCGTTCATGAAACTGCAGTTCCAGCCCCAGAAGCCAAGTGTGGTAGTGCACACTGTCATCCCAGCCCTCAGGAGGCAGTGGCAAGAGGATTATGAGTCTGGATCCAACCCAGCCTGGGCTACATAAAGAGATGGTGTCTCAGGAAAGCAAGTCCCACCACTGCAGGTGACCAGTGTAGCAGTCCTTGGAAAACAGAGAGGGGAAACCCAAGGGCAGCCATGGTCAGGAGTGACTGCATCACTCTGAGGGCAGCTTCAGCTTCCACCATACTCTTCCCACAGAGACTAGGCAGGTGGAGAACCCTGAGGGGACGGGCAAGTTTCTGGCCGTGCCAGGGGGTTTCATGTCCTTTGTAGCACCCGCCATGCAGCTGCGCCAAGATCATCTTGCAGGCAGGAGAGAGGGGGCAGTGAGGTCATAGGCCTGGGTTTTGGTAGGCTTGGCTCTACTGGCCACTCTGCTCATCACCTTTGTCACCATAGGCTGTCCCCCGGACTACGTGCCCCCGGAGATTTTCCACTTTCATACCCGCGCCGACGTGCAGCTCTACGGCATGATCTACAAGCCGCACACCCTGCAGCCAGGAAGGAAGCACCCCACTGTGCTCTTTGTCTATGGGGGCCCACAGGTGGGTGCACCCTGGCCCAGGCCCTGCCCCCCGCCACCCCTGCAGCTCTCACCACCCACCTCGCCTGCAGGTGCAGCTGGTGACCAACTCCTTCAAAGGCATCAAGTACCTTCGGCTGAACACTCTGGCGTCCCTGGGCTACGCCGTGGTGGTGATCGATGGCCGGGGCTCCTGCCAGCGGGGCCTGCGATTTGAGGGAGCCCTGAAAAACCAGATGGTAAGTCCTGATCCTGCAGTGTGGCCCTTGGGGACAAGTGGGTCCCGGAAGCACGGGTGCCTTCCACTCCTCCCGGGCCTGAGCGTGTGGCTGGGGAGAGGACAGTGGTCCAGACATAGCCTGACACCGTGGAGCTGCCTGGGTCCACAGGAACTCAAGGGTGGGTCTGATGGGCATGGCAGAAGATGGGAACTGATAAGTGGTAGGGACACTTGTGTTGAGGGCGGTGACTGACATGGTGATGGCAACAGTGATGGTAATGGTAGACGGTGGTGATGTTGGGGTGATGGGATGATGGTGATGATAGGGTGACGGGGTGACGGGATGGTGGTGATGATGGGGTGATGGGGTGACGTGATGATGGGGTGAGGGGGTGACGGGATGGTGGTGATGATGGGGGGCGTGGTGATGATGGGGGGGTGGTGATGGTGGTGATGATGGGGGCGTGGTGATGGTGGTACCATCCCTGCCCACATAATAGAGCAGCTTCAGCAGGGCTAGCCTAGGCAGACAGTTCCAGAGTACTACTTTGAGTCTAAGAAGAGAGGCTTCCCGCTAGGGACAAGGTGATGGGTGTGGGATACTGGTCACCACCAGTGGAAGTCACAGAGTGCTGGGTTTCCACAGGGACAGGTGGAGATCGAGGACCAGGTGGAAGGCTTGCAGTATGTGGCCGAGAAGTATGGCTTCATTGACCTCAGCCGTGTTGCCATCCATGGCTGGTCCTATGGTGGCTTCCTCTCGCTCATGGGGCTCATCCACAAGCCACAAGTGTTCAAGGTGGGTCTCACTCCTGTCTAGATGCTTGCAGCCCGAGTTCCACCTGCCCTTGGCCCCTTGTCTCCACCCTGGAGCCCCAACCTGGAGCAAGCACCTCGGCAGGGGCCTTGCCACCTGGCTATCTCTCCCCGCAGCCGCCCCACGAGGCCGAGTCCCCTCCTCATTGCCCGCCACCACCGACCCCAGGATGGCATCCGCCAGCAGCTCTATGTGGGAGGCCAAGCCCGGGACCCCCGCCTCGGAGGGGCAGAGGTGGGGCATGCTGTGAGGAGCAGCAGGGGGGCGCAGGCCCCGGGACTGGCAGGGGGCTGCGGGGCGGCGGCCATGAGGAGGCGGAGGAGGCAGGAAGGTGGGACGGGCCCTCCCTCCACACCCTGCGAGTCCTGGAACAGCTCAAGGCCCACAGGGACACATCCGAGGGCCCCCTGCTAGCCACTACCCTCGTGCATGAGCTGCCTGGCCCTACGCTGAGGCCTGCAATCCCAGCCAAGGCCAGGCCCCAGATCCAACACCTTTCTCCTTCTCTCTCTCCCTGTCCGATCCATCCCCTCCCCATGTCTTCCAGGTAGCCATTGCGGGTGCTCCCGTCACTGTGTGGATGGCGTATGACACAGGGTACACAGAACGGTACATGGATGTCCCTGAAAACAACCAGCAAGGCTATGAGGCAGGGTCTGTGGCCCTGCATGTGGAGAAGCTGCCCAATGAGTAAGACACCCACTTGCTCACCATCAGGCTGCCCACCTCCCATCCTCCCTGCATGTGTCTCCTGTCACCTCCTGCCAGCTGTCCTGCTGAGCTCAGGCATTCGTTGCCTCTTGGGGGTGTCAGACCCTGGCCTGGAGGTGCAGGATGGTGGGGATAAGGGCCACACGGCTATGCACTGAAGTGCTTGCCCACACAATTTGAGCAGCCATGTGAGCTCGCATCCAGCCTTTAACAGCCCTTCTGGACCCTGAACTCATGTTGCCTGGGCATGGACACTGTCTACACAGAGTCACGTGCCAGGTGACAGTGTCAGACAGAAGGGCCGCTGATGGTAACAATGCAGTGTGGCATGGGACCCCCACCATTTCCTGCACCTCCTGTAAGGCTCACTGCACTGAGCTGTGGAGGCACAGCAGGGGCTGCCAGGGCCCCAACATCACTGGTGCTGGTGCTGGGACAACTGTCTCTCAGTATGGAATGTTCCAGAACTAGATATCTAAGGGGTATACAACATTATAAAGCCGCAAAGACACTAAATGCTGCTCTGTCATTCCTGGGAACCATTAGTGCTGCAAATTAGTGCATTAAGTTGAAATAAAATATCTGGGCCCAAGCCCCATGGCAGAGTATGTGCCATCATGCAGGAGGCCCTGGGCCCCGTGGCAGAGTGTGTGCCAGCATGCAGGAGGCCCTGAGCCCCGAGGCAGAGTGTGTGCCAGCATGCAGGAGGCCTTGGGCCCCGTGGCAGAGTGTGTGCCAGCATGCAGGAGGCCCTGGGCCCTGAGGCAGAGTGTGTGCCAGCATGCAGGAGGCCTTGGGCCTACAGAACCCAGGCATGGTAGCACATGCCTGTCATCCCAACACTCAGTAGGTGGGGGCAGGGTGGATCAGGAATTTAGTGTCATCCTTAGCTACATGGGCAGTTCATTGTCAGCCTGTGCTATATGAGACCCTTGTCTCTAAAATAAATCTGATATAAAAGAGAAAACTCATCTTCTTGGTCACTCTGACCACTTTTGATATTCTGCTGGGCCACAGGTAGCCGGCGCATAGTGGTCAGTGGTGGTAACAGTGGGAATATGCATCCAGAACATTCCACCATGCCCAAATGCCTGGGCATGGGGCTTCCCGATACCCTTTCCCTCCATTCTGTCCTGCCTGCTGCACTGGGGCTGGAAAGAGACCCTGAGCCCATGGGAACCCCATCTGCCCTTCAGAGGCCTCACTCCCTCCCCTGTCTCCTCCAGGCCTAATCGCCTGCTCATCCTCCATGGCTTCCTGGATGAGAACGTCCACTTTTTTCACACAAACTTCCTCGTGTCCCAGCTGATCCGGGCAGGGAAGCCTTATCAACTCCAGGTGAGTGGTTCTGGAGGCAAAGCCCCAATCTCCATGCTCCATTCCCGCCTAATGTGGTCTGAGCTCCTCAGGGTCCTGTGTTCAGTCACATCTTTATTGGCCAGCCTGTGCCAACAACCACCACATGCCAAGTTCTCAGTGATTATACAAGAGACCCTTGCTTTGACGAATCCGCTTGGCTACAGGCATGGGAGTGCCCCTAAGTGATTAGAGGGGACATTTAAAGGTGCAGAAGCCAGTGAGGACGGAGGCCCAGGGAACCCCATACCTTAGATCAGCCATGGGAGTGGGGATGGTGGGTGGGGCTTACTGGTTGGAGCCTTGGTATGAGGGGTGGGGCTTGCTACAGAGGCAGAACTTCAATCATGAAGTGCGGAGCAGACCTCAGGGGGCCTCTGCTTGGAGGATATCCTGTTGGACTGTGGAGGCCACCCAGTACAGGAGAGGGGCATCGTTCCCTCTCCAAAGGAGGTGGGGGTGGTGTCCTCAGACTTGTGACTTGTGTGTGGAGGTTGGTATGATTATAGAAGGCCAGGGTAGAGGAGAGGAGGCCAATGGGCTTTCATTCGTTCCCAGCATTAATGTGGGTGGCAGCTGTGGGTCTGGGGAAGAGACCCCCCCATCCCTGGACCTGGTGACACAGTAACCCATGTCACCAACACCTCTCCCCTGTGAACCCCAGCCCCTGTGCAGAGTAGGGTGCCCAGGTGGGTCTGTCTGCAGCCCTGCTTCTTCCACAGATCTACCCCAACGAGAGACACAGCATCCGCTGCCCGGAGTCCGGGGAGCACTACGAGGTGACATTGCTGCACTTCCTGCAGGAGCATCTGTGACCTCCGACCTCTGCCCTAACGCCGTCGCTGCTTTTCTTGCGTTTTGTAATCTTTTAGTTTTTGAAGCTTTCGATTTGTTTGCTTGCTGCTGCTGCTTGGGGGCCAGGACAGAGGCGGTGGAGGCCCCCCCCCCGCCCCCCCCGGGTTCCGGGGCCTGCCACAGCCCCAAACTTGCAGCACCATCCCAGCACAGAGCATGTGCCACCCGCCCCCCCCCCTGCAGAGTCGTGTGTGTTTGGGGAGCATTTTTAATAATTATTTTAAAAGACAGGAAGCGGTACCGAAATATAAAATTCCAACACCCAGCCTATGAGTAGCTGCCAAGCCCGTGTCCGAGGCACTCTCTGTGCTACCTGTCCCTGCCCGACTCCTCCTCACGCACCCCCCCCCCCCCCCCCCCCCCGGGGTTCCACCGCCCGGGGTTCCAGGGTCACCCGGGGTTCCAGGGTTGGGAGTAGGACCCGTCCTGACCTCAGGGTTGTAACCCTTTCCTCTCCCCTCCCTTCAGAATTGGGGCATAAAGAAGTAAAAAAAGGAAAAAAAAACAAAAAACAAAAAACAAAAACAAAAACAAAAAAAAACCAACCCAGAAACCACCTCTACATATTATGGAAAGAAAATATTTTTGTCAATTCTTATTCTTTTATAATTATGTGGTATGTAGACTCATTAAACGATTCCAGATGGAAATGGTGCTGTGTGAGGCTCCTTCTCAAGCCGTTAGCCTGAGGGATTGCAGGGGGCTCTTCCTGGGCTGGGCTAGGGTGACTGGGACGCATAGGATGCCCCTTGTGGGCTCCATCCCAGCCCTGGGGAGGTGGAGGCCATAGGGTCAGGAGTTTGAGGTCATCCTTGGATACTTGAAATCCTATCCGAAAAACATTTCAATTGTTGAAATTATTCTTTAAAGGCCTATTGTTTTTAACTTGTTTTTGTGTGTACATGTGTTTGTGTCAGTGGATATTTGCACATGAGTGTGGATGTCTCCAGAAGCCAGAGGAATTGGGTTCGCATGGAGCTGGGTGTAAGCCCAGGATGAGGTGTGTGGAATTAAATTTGAGTCCTGGGAGAGCAGTACCTGCTCTTAACTGTTGAGCCATCTTTCCAGCCTTCCAAGTATTAAAATTGTTAAAGTCTGGTCATAGTGGCTATCCTAGCACTTGAAGGCACAGGCAGGCAGATCTCTGTGAGTTTGAGGCCAGCCTGGTCTACATAGTGAGTTCCAGGATAGTCTGGTCTACAGAGAGTTCCAGGACAGCCAAGGCTATACAGAGAAACCCTGTCTGGAAAAACCAATAATAATATGATTTTAGCAAAGTTATTAAAGATGCAATGCTTCCCTCTAAGACCTATAGTGGTGAGGTGGAAGTCCCATGATGGTCAGCTGGTGGTTTCTGCCAGGTTCCCTGGAAGCACACACATGGCCTGTGTGCCTAGTGAAACACAGAGAAGTTAGAGGCCAACCTGGGATAAAATGAGCCATCTGGTATTTATTACATGTCAGTACAATGTATGTATGGTGTTTTGCCGGCATATAAGTCCGTCTGTGCACCACATGCATGTCTGGTACCTGCAGAGGTCAAAAGAGGGAGGGGATCCTCTGGAACAGCAGTTAGAGAAGTTGTGAGCCGCCCTGGAGGTGCTGGGACTCGAACCTAGTGCTCTCTCTGCAAGGGCAGCCAGTGCTCTTAACTGCTGAGCCATCTCTCCAGACCCCACAATAAAATATTTTTTAAATGAAATTTAAACTATATAGTAAGTTACAAGACGAAAGAATCAGCATTTTTAAAAATTAAAAATAAAAGTGGAACTATATTAAAGATAATTTAACAAAATAAAGCAACAGTCAACCTCCATGCTGCCCGAAAGATGGAGACCGGAGTCGATTTAAATGAGATATAAATGTAAAAATGCCGGAATACGGTTTTCACCCTTTTGATTTGGGGGAACCTGGTTTTGACCCGGAAAAAGGCAAAAAGTTAATGGAAACCGGCCCCCGCAGCACCAATTCTCCCCATTCATTGTCGAGCGCCAATCAGAGGCGCTGTGACACGTCACGTGCCAAGCCGTGCCCGGCCACGACGTGGCGGCCAGAGCCGCGACCTGCGCGTGGCGGCACCGCGCTTACGTGTTCCGCGCAGGCGGCTCCACGTGTCCCTCGCTGCGCCCCGTCCGCGAGCGCCTGCGCATTGGTCCGGAACCAAGATGGCGGCGCCCAGCGGAGCTTTCTGGACCGCGCTGCTCCTGGTGGCCGCGGCGCTGACGTTGGCGGCCGCCGTGTCCGAGCCCACCACCGTGCCGTTTGACGTGAGGCCAGGAGGCGTCGTACATTCCTTCTCCCAAGACGTAGGGCCCGGGGTAAGTGCTGAGCCTCAGGGCCATCGAGGCCTGAGGACTGCCGGTATTGGCCGGAGCCAGAGCCGGGATCAGAACGGCAGGGGCGGGGCTGCCTCACCTGCCACCTGCCTGGCTCTTCCTACCTGCCAGGCACTCTCCCCCGGTCCACCACATCTACAAAAGGGAACACAGGCTGGTTGATGAGAGCAGACTGCGCTATGCAGGCCCCGCGAGGGTGGCTCATGAGCTCGGACCAGACAGGAAGCACCCCAGACCTTACACGAGTCCTGCCACTCTCCTCTCATGTCCTCCCCAACTGCACTGTGACAGTTGTGCCCCTGGTGACCATTTCCCGAGAACATTTTTTTTTTTTTTTTTTTTTTTTTGGTTTCGCGAGACAGGGTTTCTCTGTGGCTTTTGGAGGCTGCCCTTGAACTAGCTCTTGTAGACCGGGCTGGTCTCGAACTCACAGAGATCCGCCTGCCTCTGCCTCCCGAGTGCTGGGATTAAAGGCGTGCGCCACCAACGCCCGGCTCCCGAGAACATTCTTATAGCCCAGGGCTTCCTGGCAGGCCTGTGTTGCAGGCAAGAAGTAGCAAAGGTTTGTGGGTGTTGGGGGCCCCCAGGTACTGAACAAAGCCAGTATTCTAAGGGGGTGGCTGATGAAGGCCACTTGCAAAGTTCTGTGCTCCTGGGAGGAAGGGAGTCAGATGGCCCCTGGAGGGCATCGTGAAGCCTTTCTTTTCCTTTTGTATGGTATTGGGATGGAACCTAGGGCCTCACTCGGGCCAGTGTTCTACCCCGCTCCAGCTCTCACTGGGGAATTCTAGGCAGGGGCTCCATCTCTGGCCACTCCCCCAGGCCCTCATTAGGTGGTCCTAGGCCCAGCTCCACTGCTGATGTACATCTCTGTACTGTTACATTCAGGACAGCATCTTGGTAAGTCACCAAGGCTGGCTTTGATCTTGCGGTTCTCCTGCCTTGGCTTCCTTGGATGCTGTTAAGTCTCAGATAAAAAAAAAATTCACAACTGTCTGATTAAAGCAAGCTGTATTTAAAAGTGCACAAGGGACTGACTGGCCAGAAGACTGCCTCCCCTTAAGTATGTGTTTCAGAGAGCAGCCCCTCACTCGCTGGCTTTTGGGTTCCTTTTTTATGGTCTTGTCACAAGTGTTCAGGAGTTTAGCAAGGCAAAGGGGTGGGTATACATCATGGAGTCATGAGTTTAGCATAGGTTGAAAAGCACTTAGGAAACAGAAACTTACGCTTGTAAGGCATGGCGACTTAGAGCAATGTGTGACAAAGTGGTCCCAGTACCTGAGATGATAGGCACACAGAACCACACCCAAGATGCTGGGGTCTTGGTTCTGAACATTGAGACATGGGTTCTTCAGCCTTCTGTTTTCTCTTTCCCAGGGCAAGTTTACATGCACGTTCACATACGCTTCCCAAGGAGGGACCAACGAGGTGAGTCACATAAGGGTCTCAAATGCCTCTTTCACTTATGGACATGTTCTTGCCAATCAACCAGTCAGCACAGAGAAGGTGCAGTCCAGGGTGACCTTTGTGTGATGCATGAAGGAGCAGTCAGGGTATCCTCACTACATCTACTCACTAGACAGGACTCCTCTCCCTGTCCCCGTGGGCGAGTTCAGTAACCACAGCAGGAGGGTGGAGACTGGGCGCCATCTGTGCTTTGCACTCAAGGTAGGGGAAATGGTGGAAGCCTTGCTCATGGCTGGACTGAAGCTTCCCATCCACCCTACAAGAAAAGCAGGTAGTTCAGCTTCGAAGATGAAGGCACTAGGTTCTCAGTCACATGAGCCTGAAAGGACCCTGAGCTGCCTTAGCTTTTGCCTCATGGAGCTAGCCACCCTTAGTGCCAATCCCTGACTATTGACCCATCTGTGATCAGTGGGCCCCTGTGATTCTATTGATCTGTGTGTGATCAGTGGGCCCCTATGGTTCTTATTTGTCAATTTGATTTTGTCAATTTGTTCATGCTTTTTGACAGGATCTTACCGTGTAGCCCTTGCTCTACCTGAGTGCTCAGATAACAGTGTCCCTACCATGGGCAGTGGGACCTTTGTTATCTCAAGATGCTCTGTGCCTTAGGAGGCTTTCCTGAGCAACCTGCCTGGGATAGTCCTCAGGGCAGCCTGTGAGCTGGAAGGAACTGAACCCCCAGCAAGACCATCCTCCTGCAGCAAAATGCAGAACGATACAGCAGCATAGGGAACCACCTATCCCACAACCAAACCTGTTCATTCAGGGGAAATACTGGTGTGTTCGGAACCTTGCATGAGTGTTCTGAGCAAAGCCTTCCGTGGGGCCAGCGTGTGGAAGTGACTCAATGTCCTTGGACGGATGGGCAGGAAGACATGCACTTGTGAACAGTGTTGTTTACGGTCTGCAGAGTAATAGCAGCCCTGCTGTGGCGTGCAATGAGTGAGTTGGTTGTGAACATAGCAAGAAAAAGTAGAAGAGGAAATGGAGAGGCTGCAGACAGCAGAACATCTTCAGCCAGGTGCTCCCAGCACCCACCGAAACTGGCACACAATTCCCTCAGAGGCCAGAAGTGGGTGTCTGATCCAGGACCTGTTATGGATGGTTGGGCACTGCAGTGTGGGTGCTAGAAATCAAACCCAGGTGCTCTGCAAGAGCAGCCAGTGCTCTAATGGCTGAGCTGTCTCTGCAGACCTTTAGTCAGTAAGAAGTCAGCTATGGATGCAAGATGGCAGCCAGCTGGAAACCCACCTAGCAAGCTCCCAAGACAAGCACCCAGTTTCTCTTCCCCACTGTAGGCAAGGGTTTCAAAATACAGTTTTTAAGCTTGTTTATTTTTTATTTATTTATTTATTTATTTATTTATTTATTATGCATACAACATTCTGCTTCCTTGTATATCTGCACACCAGAAGAGGGCACCAGATCTCATAACAGATGGTTGTGAGCCACCATGTGGTTGCTGGGAATTGAACTCAGGACCTCTGGAAGAGCAGACTGTGCTCTTAACCTCTGAGCCATCTCTCCAGCCCCCTAAGCATGTTTATATAGTTGGGTGTGTGGGTGTGTCCAAATGGGTGTGTTGCCCACTGCGATTTCCTGGAGCTACGAGTGGTTGTGGGCCACCGTGTCGGTGCTGGAAACTGAACCTGGGTGTCCTAGTCAGGGTTTCTATTGCTGCGATGAAACACCATGACCAAAAAGCAAGTTGGGCACAAAAGGTTTTTTTTTTTTTTTTAATTTTTTTTTTTTAGTTCAAACTGGGAACAAGCTTGCTTCACGCGTCAACCCCTTCTCCCTCCCCTCTCCCCTACAAAAGGGTTTATTTGACTTACATTTCCACATTGCTGTTCATCATTGAAAGAAGTCAGGACAGGATCCCAGAGGCAGGAGCTGATGCAGAGGCCATGGAGGGTTCTGCTTACTGACTTACTCTCCATGGCTTGCTCAGCCTGCTTTTTTGAGATAGGGTTTCTCTGTATTGCTTTGGAGCCTGTCCTGGAACTTACTCTGTAGACGAGACTGGCTTCGAACTCACAGAGATCCTCCTGCCTGTGCCTCCTGAGTGCTGTGATTAAAGGCGTGTGCCACCAACGTGCAGCTCAGCTTGCTTTCTTTCAGAACCCAGGACCAGCAGCCCAGGATGGCACCACCCACAGTAGGCTGGGCCCCCCCATCAGTCACTAAATGAGAAAATGCTTCCCAGGCTGGCCTGCAGCTGCATCTTATGGAAACATTTTCTCATTTAAGGCTCCCTCCTCTTGGGTCACTCCAACTTGTGTCAGGTTGACATAAAACTTGCCAGAACAGCAGGTCCTCAGGAAAATGTCTGTGTTGCTGACCACTCAACGGGCTGCAGTCAGCTCTTGGAAGTGGTCATGCTTGGCTATTCTGCTGTAGCATTGCTACCACTAAGAGGCTGAGGCCAGCCCTCCCCCAAGACCTTGGAGACAAACACAGACCCCACTCCAGAGCCAGCTTTTCAGTGAGCTCAAGGAACATGTAATAGTGACAATTTCAATTACAAGGAGCATGGCTCTGACACCCGCTGGAGCCAAGAGGGTCCTCAGGAACTGTGCTCAGTGAGAGACCCTGACACAGAAGACACACAGTGTGGGACTCCATTGCAGGGAGTGTCCAGGACAGGGAAACCCAGAGACAGGACATGGATATGCTGGGGCTGGGAGGGACTTCAGGGGCGTTCATCATGGGGCTTCCTTTTTCACTGATGTGGCGTCTGGATGCCTGATAGTGATGGCTGCACTGTGGACTAGACCTCACTGGCCCGTGTTTTTCTGTGAATGGTCAGGAATAGGAACATTTCGACTTTATTTTGCCAGCAGTTTTAGGGGTTGGCTGTGCCTGAGATTAAATGGATAGAAGAGGGGCCAATAACAGGCAGGGAGCACTCTGCATGATGAGGCAGAAGGATCAGGAATTCAAGGGTCATCATCAGCTCTACAGAGAATTCGAGAGCAGCCTGGGCTACAGGAGACCCTGCTTCTAACAGAAAAGCAAGGCGTGGGCTCTCTTCCTGCTTCTAACGGAAAAACAAGGCATGGGCTCTCTTAGCAGCATTTCTCAGATGGGCTCTTTTTGGGGGCACAGACACCCTGGAATAGCCTGGGAGTTCGGGATTAGCATGTCTGGAGTTGAAGGAACCACCCAGAGCCAGTAACCTGGCCTAGGCATAAGTGTAGTTGGATCTGACAGCTTAGGTTTCCAGCAAAATGTACCCAAGTAGTCACAGGGTCCTCTTGTAATTGACATAAGCATGGCATGTCCTGGCAATGGAAAACCTCCCCAGTGAAGCCATGAAGAACAGTAATGGGAGCCCCTGGCCTAGAGCTGAGGGTACTCGCCGTGAGAACTGGTCGGTTAGGGATTTTTTTTTGTTGTTTTTGGGTTTTGTTTTTGTTTTTTCCAAGACAAAGTTTCTGTGTGTAGCCTTGGCTGTCTAGAACTCACTTCGTAGACCCTGTAAACCAGGCTGACCTCAACTCACAGAGATAACCTGCCTCTGCCTCCCAATGCTGGGTTTAAAGGCGTGCACCACCAGTGCCCAGGGGTTTTTTGTTTTTGCGTTTCAGTTTTAGTTATTTTATGTGTATGGTGTTTTGCCTGCATGAATGTCTGTGCACCCGCTGCATATCTGGTACATGTGAAGCGAAGACCAAAAAGGGGCGTATCTGTCAAGTCCCTGTAACTGGAGTTAAAGATGGCTTTGAGCCACTGTGTGGGTCCTGGGAACAAAACCTGTGTCCTCTGAAGAGCAGCCCATGCTCTGAGGTGCAAAGTCATCTCTCAGACCTGGCTGCTGTTGGTGGTTGTTGTTTGAGACTGAGTCTCATGATGTGTGTCTGGCTGGACTGGAACTAATAATGTAGCCCAGGCTGACCTCAAACTCAAAAAGGGCTGCCTCCTGAGTTCTGGTAATAAAGACATGTACCACTATGCCCATAATTTGTATTTTGTTTGTTTGGGTTTTTTTTTTTTTTTTTTTTTGGTTGTTTTGTTTTGAGACAGGGTCTTTTGTAGCCCAGATTGGCTTCCTATGTATGTAAGGCTAACTCCTGATTGTCCTGAGTGCTGGGGTGACAGACACGCTCCACTGTGCCCTGTTTCTGGGGTTGGAACTAGGGCCCTCATGCTAGACACTGACCCACAGTCCACAACCCTTGTCTGGTTTTTCAGAAAGGTTCTCACTGTTGCCGAGCCTGGAGCCATTCTCAAGCTGTTGTGCCTTATGGGAAGAAAATGACATAGGCAGTGTCTTGATCCACTGGAAGACAGTGTCTGTGGCTCTGGCCTGGGAGGGTCTGTGATTGGTGGGCCTTGCAGAGAGGCTGGCCACCTGTCCTTGCTCACCAAGCCTGTCCTCTCTCCCCAGCAATGGCAGATGAGTCTGGGGACGAGTGAAGACAGTCAGCACTTCACTTGTACCATCTGGAGGTGAGCTGCAGCCACTGAGAATGCACCGGGCTGGGGGAAGGGGAGCTGTCCCCTGCAGCCATGGGTACACCACTTTCCATGGAGGACAAGTGGGGATCACACTGGACAGCTGCCCTGCAACCCTGGGGAAGGGTGTGTGCTAGCACCAAAGCACCAGGCAGGGAGGGAGGGGAGGGGAAGACAGCAGAGAGGAGGGTAGGGGGCTGGGGAGTTAGGTCACAGGGCAGGAAGTCACCAAAGCACTTTTTGGCAAACTTTAAAACTTGAAATAGAGTCCTGCTTTCTGTGGAGTACAGTTGGCTGCTGTTTCTCATGTTCACCAGCTCTGGGGAGGCAGAGGCAAGGGGACCAGGAGCACAAGGCTAGCCTTGGCCAGCCTGGGCTACCAGACACCCTGTCTCAAAAACCAGTTTTGAAACAAAAAAGAAGGCAAACCCCAAAAGGTAGCCCTGTCCCCAGGAGCTGGCTTTACTGTCCTGGAAATTACTACTGTGGAGTCGCACGTCATTTGGCTCTTTCCGGGGCCTCCTCGACTGGGTGCTGACCTCCTGTGCTTACTCTGTCTCCCCACAGGCCCCAAGGGAAGTCCTACCTCTACTTCACACAGTTCAAGGCTGAGCTGCGGGGTGCTGAGATTGAGTACGCCATGGCCTATGTGAGTGCCAGTCTTGGGGACCCGAGGGTGGGAGGGATCTGCAGGGCCCCAGATACCATTCACTGCAAGGAACTCAGCCACCCTGACCCCCCAGGACCCCCACCCAAGCTGGGGACCTCAGCGGGAGGCCCATGATGGAGGCACCTGGTCTATCCCTCTGCATAAACCTGCTTCACCCCAGGAGACCAGAAAAATGGGGAGGTTGACAGCAGAGGTCAATGTACCCTACAGAATAGTGGGAGGAACCAGGCGGCCTTGGTCCACTCCTGTCCCTCAAGTCAGCCGATGACAGGTTCTACCCTCAGTGCCAGAGCCGTATAGCAGCCTCCTTAAGTGTGTTACTGGGAGGCAAGGTGACACTGAGGCTGTCTGTCACCTGTGCGCTGACCCCTGCCTAGGATCCACACTAGGAACACCTCACCTACTTTAGCAAGCATGCCTGGCTTTAGGCCACAGTGCTCAGGAGACCAAACTGAGGGGACTTCTCTCTGGATGGTATGTGTCTACTAAAGTGTCCTGTTCTCTTTTAGTCCAAAGCTGCGTTTGAGAGAGAGAGTGATGTCCCCCTTAAAAATGAGGAATTTGAAGTGACCAAGACAGCAGGTAGGTGAAGATGGGACCCAGCAGGTGGGAGACACACAAGCACCTGCAAAGAGCCGTTTGCAGAGAGGTGGCCGAGGGCCTCATGACCATACATTGCAGATCAGAAACTGTCTGGAGAATGGAGTGGGCTAAAGACAAGCCACTTGCAGGATGACAGGATGGACCCTGTGCTGCAGCTGCTCCTGTCAGTTTAGCTCCAGCATACTAGTCACCTGTACTGGTTCACGTTCTGTTGCTGTGACAACACATCCCAGGCAGGCTGCTGTGTAAAGCTGAGACCATTCAGAGCTCAAAGGATCAAGGGTCCCAACGTAGCTTTGGTAGACTCTGAGGACCTGGTGAGGGAGACACTGGCAGAGCCCAAGAGCCCAGGGAAGTGGGTCCCAGCCCTCAAAAGAACCTATTCCGGGCTCCACTGGGGGGCCGTGGGGGGGCTCCTTGACCAGGCCCCCAGCCCTCTTTGCAGTTTCCTGGCCAGCCTGGGTCTTCTCAACCTTTCAGTATCCAGAATAGCTGCAGTAACAAGCCTGTCACCATACCTGGCTCTGCAGTTTTCGCTTTGGCCCGCCACACCTGCCCCTCTGCCAGACTATTCCTGTCTCAACATCTCATGTGGCATGTGTGTCAGGGCCCAACTGTGCTTTTGTCTTGCAGTGTCTCACAGGCCCGGGGCCTTCAAGGCTGAGCTCTCCAAGCTGGTGATAGTAGCCAAGGCGGCACGCTCAGAGCTGTGACTCTCACCTGCCATGGGTTGCCCTGTCCCCTCCTCGGGCGCACTCGCCCCAACTCCTTGTCTGGCACACTGGTTCCCACAGGAGCTGGTGTGACCCTGTTTACAGCTCACACTGCAGCACTCTGCTGAACTCTGTGTCCTGTCACCCATGTCACCAGGGAAGTACATGGGTGACACCAGGACATGCTGGGTGGGACTGAGGGGGCTCCTGGCTCTCCTGAAGTCAGGTGTGGTTTTCCCTCTGAGCCACAGATGAGCATCCTCATTTCTGGGACTGGTTACCCCACCCAAGGCCCCTCCATTCAAAAGAAAGGGAAGGGACAGAGCAAATAAATAACCCCCCGCTGGGACTCTGTGGGGTCAGGACTCAGACTCAGATTCCACGGCCTTCCATGGTAGAGGCAGCAGGTGGCCTCTTCCAAGAGTGACTGTCACACAGGTGCCAGCATGTGGGTCCCAAGGCAGCCAGTGACTTTACACCCATGGAGGGACTAGTCACTCTGCTGAGCTGCCACATTGTCCTGAATTCATACTGTCCCCTGGCACAAGGACCCCAGGATGAGGGCACTGTCCCCACAGATTCCAGCTTCAGGTGGACTTTTGAAGTCAGATGGAATCTAGATGTCTGTAGATTTATTTCATGCTTGTATTTGTGAGTGTTTGTGAGTCTGTCATTTGTGTACCCATGGAGCCAGAAGAGGACATCAGATCCCCTGGAGCTGAAGTCCCAAGTGCTTGTGAGCTGCCTATAGTTGCTAGGAATCAAGCCTGGGTCCTCTGCTAGATCAGCCGGCACTCTGTTGAGCCTCCTTCACAACCCCAGTAAGAAATCTTTCAAACCCAAACCAAAAATAACCTGTAGTCAAAGAATCCCACATAAACCCTAAACTGTCCCAGGCTTTCGGGGGGGGGGGGGCATGGCCCCCCAGCTTGGGCCTGACCTCTGGCCAAACGGGAGACACTGAGGCTGCCAGACAGGCCTGTTCCTCTCAAAGACCTGCAGGGGGCACTGCAGTCTCCCATTCTTTGCCGGGGGAGGGGATGTGTCCCATAGCAAGAGCTAAGCATCTTCCTGTTGTCCCAAGCTTCAAGGAGGGGACCTTTGATAAGGGCATCTCTGTGAGTGGGAGGTTAGCCTGGACTACATAGTGAGTCCCAGGACATCTAAGACTGCATAGTGGGACCCTGCCTCAATAAAGGGGAGCTGACCTTTAAGATACTCAGTGGAACCTGAGGACATATGCTATGTGTGTACCCTGGGAAAAACACAGACATAAGAGTGGGGGGGGGGAAGGGGGGGGCTGGCGCACACGCCTTTAATCCCAGCACTCGGGAGGCAGAGGCAGGCAGATCTCTGTGAGTTTGAGACCAGCCTAGTCTACAAGTACTAGTCCCAGGACAACCTCCAAAGCCACAGAGAAACCCTGTCTGAAAAAAACAAACAAAAAGTTGTCTTAGGGGCCTGAGGCTCCAAGGGCTCTGATACCTGGGTATAGGTGGCATAGTCTTAACCTCACACCCCTTGGTCGGAAAGGACATGAGATGAGGTGAAGGCACTTTCTCCTCCAGTGTGTCTTTGAGGGTCCCCGGCTGTTACCAAGGATACAGAGTGCATAGAACTGGGTGCTGGGACACAGTGACCCTCTAATATTCAATCTTAAATTTCTGGGGGAAAAACTGGTGGTGCCAGGAATGAGCCCAGGGAACACAATGGAACCTGGGGTGGGGATAGAGGGGGGGTCTATTCCCATCTTGTCATCTCTTGGCTGGGCAGGGGAGTAACTACCCTATCAGGGCCTCTGACATTTGTTTAACTCTGAGTTGAGTTTTTGTCTGGATTTATTAGTCTCTGTGGGTGTCCGAGAGCCATGGAGCACAGGCGCAGGTCACAGGACATTTGTGGGACCTGGCTCTCTTTCCTCTTGGTGGCTCCAGGCATAGACACTCTCTGGACATCAGGCTTGGTGGCAAGCTCCTCTACCCACTGATCCATGTAACCAGCCCCACAACAGCTGTAAACATTTTTCTATCCCAGGCCTGGAAGCATAGGCCTGTGTTCCCAAGCATTCAGGGTGCTGAGGCAAGAGGATTGTGAGATCCAGGTCACCCTGAGAATCTAGCCCTAAAAGGGAAATGAGGCTGGCTTGATGGCAGAGCCCCTGGTGAAACGCAAAATAAAGTCCCTCGTGCTCTCTGGCTTTCCTTTTCATCTCACCCTTATGAACACAGCCCCACAAAACGAAGACTAGTCTCCCATTTGGTCAGCATGAAGGTTTCATCTGGGGACAGCAGCATGTATGCTGGGGTCCCGGTTTCAAGATCCAGCCAAGGGTCTGAAGGGAGACAAATTCCCCTGTGGAGCTGGAATGGCAAGAATGGCTTCAAGCAGCTGACAGAAGTGACTGCAACAGGACAGTGTGGAGCTCAGGCTGGGACTCTAGCCAGCCCTCGGGACGCTGAGGCAGGAGAATATGAATTCCAGGCCAACCTGGGCTACAGGGTAAGGTACTGCTTTAAAACACATAAAACAGTCTGTAGCTGTTGGTGGAATCTTCTTTGTAAGTGCTGGCCTTTGTCTGAAACACTAATGAAGCCTCTGGCTCCCACCAGGCCCCACAGGCTACGGATTATAAACTTTGCCCTAAATACACGCAGTCCTCCCCGACACCCCGGATAACCTTCCCACCTGCAGCATTGCACAACCGCTGCGCTATCCACCATCTGCAGATGCAGGGTCTTAACTGGTCACAGGGATCTTCCCCAACATGTGCGTGCTACAGCTGGCCACGCCCCCCACTAGGCAATTCTAGGCGGGGCTCTACCTCTGACCACGCCCCCAGTCCTTCACTGGGAAATTCTAGAGAACTAATGCACAACTCAGTTGTGCACAAAGATAGCTAAAGCCTGCCCACCTTTCCAAGGATGAAAGTTCTGTCTCATAGTGACCATAAGGATAAGCCAAGTATGACGTCATGCTCCCGCATGCGCAGTCAGTGTTGGTTACAAGCCCTGGCTGCAATACAAAGAGAAAAGATGGGTTTGATTCCCAAATAGAGTGTTATAATTTAACACAGACACGTGTCTCCAGTATCTCTGCCCTGTTAAAGCTGGGGACAGCCTCTGAGATTCCCCAGGCTCCTCCCTCCCAGTGAAGACTCCAGCAGATCACTGGCTCCTTGCTGCGTGGTCACGTGGGCGGGCCGCGTGGAGGTCAAAGGCCAACTTGCCAAAACTGGTTCTGTGCTTCCACAGTGCGGGTTTTGGGAATCAAACTCCATCATCAGGCTTGGCAGCGAGCGCCCCACACACCGAGCCACCTCCCCGCCAGGCAGTTTCTTCCTTTTCTCAGATGCAGTCCCAGATGGGGGGGTCTCCGAATCGGATCCCAACACCACAGGGCAGGCTGGGACCGCTTCAGTCCTAGTCCGGTGTCAGGGCTTGAACTCCATTTCCTGAAGCAAGTCACCTTGGGAGGCCCTGAGAGTTAGGAAAGGAAATAGGCATTTGGCAGGGGCCAGAGGTCAGGGAGTACAACTCTTTTTCTCCCAGTTCTCCTCGATCTTGTCTGAAAAAAAGACAAGGCCCAACAGCGAGGTGGTGGAGCATACCCATCACCCCGGCACTCAGGAGGCAACTGCAGGAGCAGCATCGCTAGTTCAAGGTCAGCCTCGCTGCAAAGACAGCCTGGGCTACGTGACAGCGTCTGGGAATTAGTAAGAGGAGCGGAAGTTGGGACGAGTGGTGGTGTTCTCAGGGACAGTCCCCAGACCAGGTCAGATGCCGCCCTCGTCCAGCATCCTCCCGAGGCCGTCGCAGATGCGGTGCAGGTGTCTCCGGTAGGGTTCTGCTGGGCTGTACAGCGCGGCCAGGAAGTCGCCGTTGGCAAAGTGGCCGAAGACGTGGTTGATGCGGCCATGGGACTTGGCAGTGAGGTGCGTGCCTGTGGCCTGATGCAGCAGATCCCTGCACTCCAGCAGCCCCGCGGCCAGCACTCGCCGGTCGAAGGTGAAGTCCACCTGGTGGAAGCTGAGGGCTGTCATGGCCAGACTGCGCATCCGGCCCTGGAACCGTCGCAACTGGGCCAGCTCATCGCTATCCAGCTGACCGGCCCGCAGCAGCACCGACAGCTTCACCGCCACCTTCACCAGGTTCTTCACCACCCTCTGCGCCTCCTTCCGGCTGCGGGTGAACTCCTTGGTGGCTTGGTACAGTTCATCCAGGATCTCGCTGCTGGTGTCGTCCACAAATACGGCCACCATGGCCTTGGAGGCCATCTTACTGAGGACTTTCTTCTGGGCCTGCAGGGCCAGGCTCTTCGTGCTGAAGGTGTCCATGGGCCCTGCGGGATGACAGGTCAAAGGAATGCATGTAGAATGATAAAGTCTGGGCAGGGTCGGGCACCATCCCTACTCTCCGATAGCCAGCTGGCTGTTTCTGGCTGGGAGTTGAGGCTTTTGATGCAAGTGCAGTCAAGTGGTCCCCATGGAGCAGCCACAATACTTAGATCAAGCAGTTCTAGAATTTTCCCCCAAGAGACAGTGCTCAAAACCACTGAGAGTTCTCATGCCCCTTCCCTAATAAACTCTACAAACCTCCTCCCTCTGAGCCACACAGGGCTGCACGGCTGCAACTGCCTCCCCCACCACAGAGGGAAGTCAGGGCCTGACCCTTCTTCTGCTGTGTTCTCTGGGACCTCTGACCCCTCTAGGAGTGAGCAAACCCGGAAAAGCCAAGGAATACACAGAGGCCTGTTGAGACCTGACCCTGGTCAGCCATGCACCACCCACCCGGCCAGCTTATCCCCGAATCATCTACAAAGCCCGCCTTTGTATGAGCCCAGACCCCGGGCAGCCCCCACCCCCGTTCTCGCCATCCTCTTCTTGGCCTTAGCGGTCAGGGACACATGTCTCGCTCTGCAGCTTTCCTGCCCCCAGTGCTCACCCCCCACACCTCCTCATTCCCCCACCCGGCTGTCCACCAGCCAGGGCCTAGACATAGCTATTGACACAGTATGCCTGCCACGTGAGCCCATTTCATCACTTCGGCCAACGCCATTCTGCAAAGACCACAGCTGTCCCCAGTGGGGACAGGTAGGAATAAAGGCACAGTGGTGGAATCTATCCTCTCAAAGTCCACTGTACCTGGGGGCCACACAGCAGAAGAGGACGATCAGCCTCCGATGGTCCCACACCTGAGTGCTCCTGCCTCCTCCCTAGTGTCTGAGGACACCATACACCAGACATTGCACACCTGCCACCCCAGCACTTGGAGGTGGAGGCAGGAGGATCAGAAGCTCAAGGTCAGCCTGAGCTATATGGGGAGCTGGGGGGCAGCCTAAGCTACATGACCCTCTCCAAAAAACAGAGAAGAAAGAAGATTATCTCACAGGCAGGGGACCAGAGAGACCTCTACACCATCCGGGGGCTGGTTCCCAATTAACACTGAACAAAGGGGGGGGGCTCTCAGAGGAACAAAGTCTGGAGTCCCTGTTTGGCTTGGGGGTGTGTGACTCCAGAGGGAGTGCTGATCCTCTGGACCTTGCTTACCCATGGACAAAGCCAAATTTGGACTCTGTGGCTCAGGAGTGAAGCTGAGAGTGTGGATGGACTTCCGGAGACTGGTGGGGGCACAGCTGTGGCTATCCTGGCTGTCCCAACTCCTATTGAGCCTGAGCTGCCACCTGGGGCAGCCAGCTGCTGGCTTCCACTTCCTGTTCTGAAACCCATTGTCCTGACAGACCAGGATGATGGCTGTCCCAGGGGACAGGCCTTCCTGCCTAAGGGGTCTGTGTGCAGCCATGTGAGGCCTTTGGGCAGGGACTTTCCCAGGAAAGAGGTGCTGTGGCCTTGGTCCCTGCCACAGCACCCAGCCGAAGTCTAGAGCTAAATAGCCCACTCTACCCTCCAGAACTCGGCCCCAACACTCATTCAGCCACTCAAGCCTCTAATGGGTGTTTATGGAGCACCAGCTGTATACCCAACACCAGGGGCACAGAAGTAACCAGAAAAGACCTTGCCTCTGTCACCCTGGTGCCCTGATTCTGCCATCTTCTGATTATAACATAATTTGGGGACCATCTTGGGCCTGGAGTTGAATTCACAGGCCACAGTACCCACTGCATCCCTTAATTCATCTTTTATGCATTTTTACTTTTTTTTTTTTTTCCAGGCAGGGCTTCATATCACCCAGCCTGGCCTTAGACTCCTACTCCTCCTGCCTTAGCTTCTTCACAGTGAAATGATGTGCATGTGCCCACTGTGTCTGGGAAACCCAAAACCACCCTAAAGAGGCCTTGTGAACCAGGGGGAGGAAGAAAACACAACGAATCAATAAACAGGAAGAAAAAAAAAGCAAAGATTGGGCTTGGGGTGGGAGAAGGCCAGAGCAAGGTCCACAGAGAGGCAGCTTTTCCAGGAGCCTTTGAACCCCCAGGATAGGTCAGAGGGAGGGGACAGCTGTGCAAAGGCCCTGGGGCAGGGCCACACAGCCTCGGGCCATCCAGGCCACTGTACCTCCTCACCCTGTGGGAACAATAATCCAAAATCCAAAATCAGAGCCCCACATTCTCTCCTGGGCCCTGGGCCACATCTTAGACTTTGGTTTTTGTTTTGTTTGAGACCAGGTCTCACCACACATAGCCCAAGCTAACCTCAAACTCACAGAGGTCCACCAGCCTCCATCTCCCTAGTGCTGGGATTAAAGGTGTGCACCATCACACCTGGTCCACCTTAGACTTCTCATGGGCTGCCAAACCCTACTTGAGTTTTGTACTCTGAACCCCATTAGTTCTTGCAGCTCCGAGCACCCCATAACATCTCTGGATCATCCCTTGAGCCTCAGGCTCCCTGCTAGATTACATCGGACCTTCCCCTTCGGTGGGGACAGTTGTAGCTGGCTCTGGAATCAGAGATCAATCTTGGCCCCTGCTACAAGGTCAAGCCACAGGGCCTTTGTGTGGCTGTGGTGGCTTCCAGGAGGCTTTTGGAGCATAAAGGTCCAGTCTCAGGAGCACCTCCCTGGCCCACTTCCTGCTTTTTCTTTTCGCCCAGTTTTTGGTTGTCTTCTGGTTTTGTTTTTGAGTCAGGCTGACCTGAAGCCCACTGCATAGCAGTGAACTCCCAATCCTCTTGCCTCCACCTCCTGAATGCTGGGAGGTGCCGCCATGCCTCATGCACGCGGTGCTGGGGGTGGCACAGCTCAGGTCTGTAGGTGCAGGAGGCAGGAGGGGAGAGGCTGGGAATGGGGTCTCTCTTGGTCTTGGTAAGGTCTGCAGGGAACACTCCACCAAGCATACAGCTGGTACTCAGTAAATGTGTATGCAATGACTAACCAATTCCTGAATGCTAAGTGGGGTGTGAAGAATTCTGGAGGGAGAAGTGTCGAAAGACACATGGGCCCCAGAGATTGGAAGTTCAAACCGGGGTGACCCACATCTGTTGTCTTCATCATTGTCCCTCATCCCACCCAAGCACAGTCCAGGAAGCTCCAGGGCTGTCACAAAGCACCAACATTGCTTCCCAAGTACCTTGGACGCCTCCGGGCCTTGGGACATCGCTACACCCCTTCAAGTGTCCTTAGAGACAACCGAGTGGGTAAAATGTTTGCTGTAAGCATGTAGACCTGAGTTCAAGTCCCAGCCACCCACAGAAAAACCAGTGGGGAAAGCCAAGGGGTGTTGGCGCATGCCTTTAATCCCAGGACTGGGGAGGCAGAGGCAGGCGGATCTCTATGAGTTTGAACCCAGCCTGGTCTCCAGAGAGAGTTCCAGTGCAGTCAGGGCTACACAGTGACATCCCATGCCCCAAATAAAAGGTCTTCATTGCTTTCTGAAGTTATTGTAAATGCTGGGAGATGTGCCCCTCCCTGCTCATGCCAACCCCTTTCTCACAGCCTCCAACTTGCCCGACTTGCTTGCTCAGGGGCCTCTGACTTGCTGGAGACTCCTCACCTGCTCACAGCCCCTACCTGATGTTGCAAATGAAGTCTTACTGTCATACCCCACTTGCATACCCAGAGGTGGATGCAAGTGGATGGCCCTTGTGTCTTGGCACAGCTGACACTATTTCTAACTGGTCGTCAGTCCCCAGGCCCCATCTCCACGGTTACCACAGAAGCCCAGGCTTCTGCAAAGGTCTGAGGATCTCCGTGGGGTCCTTGAGGCCACCATGGCCACAAGAGACATGTGAAGCTTGGAAGCCCCCAAGCTGTTTCCAACAAACTCAGGAGAGAGAGGACAAACTTGGGCACAGGACACAGCCAGGCCTTGGGGTGTCTCTATGCTGGTGGCCACTATGTGTAGGCTGGGGACCCAGCTTCCAACTCTGCTGTGCATGTGGAGGCCAATATTGACACCTGTGTCTTCCTCATTCCCTCTGCACCCAGCCCTGTACCCAGGCCTGACCACTGAGCCCCAGGGATGCTCCTGTCCCCACCTCTAGCATGAGATTATAGTGGTGTGGGGTTCTGGAGATTCTAACTTAGACAGCAAACACTTTAACTGCTGATCCATTCTCAGCCCTGATGTATGCTTTTTATTTCTTTCCCCCACCCCTTGTTTTGTTTTGAGACAGGGTCTATGTACCCCAGACTGGCCTGAAACTCACAGAGATCCTTCTGCCTCTGTCTCCCGAGTGCTGGGATTAAAGGTGTGTGCCACCCACCCAACCTAACCTTCGCATCTTAATAATAGCTTCACTGAAACACCATTCCCATCCCAGAAACTGCTCTTATATTTTTATTTTGTTTTGTTTTTTGAGACAAAGTCTCCTGTAGCCCAGGCTGTTCCCCTCACTATATAAAGCTGACCTTGAACTCCTGATCCTACTGCCTCTGCCTCTCCAGCTTGGCTGACACATGTGTGCCACACATCTGACAACTTTCTTATTTATGATATGGTTTACATCCTGTCATCCTGGCAGTAGGTCAAGGTGCTTGCCACCAAGTCCGACAACCTGAGTTCGATCCCTGAGAGCTACACTGCGGGAGAGAGAATAGACTCCCTCAAGTTATCATCTAACCTCCAACCCAAGCGCTCTGGCTCTCTCACAGAGTAAATAAATGTAATAAATAATAAATTCAACATGATTTACTTAGCTAGAAAGCACTCACTCTTTGACTTTTAATCTGGGCTTAACAATGAGATGGCAAAATTCCCGAAACCCAGCAGCAGCTCTCGTGAAGCTGATGCTGATGCTCACCCTTGGGCAGCCCCTGGCCTCATGAATTTTTTATGTCCCACACGCAGCGAATCCATAATTGATGTCGCCAAGCCCGCCATCCAAGCCGCCAAAGACCCATGTCACCCAGGGCCCCAAAAGTCTCTTTCCCAATGCAGTGTCACCTACTGGGGACTCTGGCTGCAAAAGCACCCTTAACATCAGGACTGGGGCTCTCTACCCATCGCCATCGGCTTTCTGGGAAATCAGGGAGCAGGGAAGTTGCCTGGTGAGGAAGACACTGGGGGTTCTCAAAGAAGGACCCCACAATGATGGCACCAAAATGGGTGGGGGAGGGCTGGGAGACAAGATGGACATGTACTGAAGAAACAAGTGTTGAGAGGCAGGCAACATGACCCAACAGGTAAAGGCACTTGCTATCAAGTCAGACAACCTAAGTTTGAGCCCAGGACCCACCAGTAGAAGGTGGGCCAGTTGTCTGCTTCACATGCACAAAAAGGAAAAAATTACTATATTTTTAAGAGACTGTCACAGAGCGAGGGGGAGGCATGGGAGTACAGGGGTGGGGGGTGAATCCATGATTCAACTTCCACATATGGCTTCTTTAGGGACAGAGTTTGAAATAAGGTCTCACTCTATAGCCAGGCTAGCTTCTGATTGACCATGATCCTCCTGCCTCAGACTCCCAGGTACGTTCCACCACACCCAGCATCCACTCAAGGTTTTCACAAGAAGGGGAAGACAAAGGTCACAGCTGTGCACGTGCAGCCCCAGAGAGTATCAGCTCCCTCTGTTTCTCAGTGCTTCACAGCCTGTCTCCTCTCACCCCCACCAAGATCCCCAAAGTGCCAGGAGCCCCATGGGCACAGAGGAACATTAAGTCAGAACTGTGATATGAATCCAGCCCCTAACTAAGAGCTCATCTCAAAGCAGCCTCCGCTCACCACAACCCCGGACTCACTCCAAAATTGGAGGAGCCTACTGATCCAGTCTGGGAATCTTCCAGAAGCTGTGTACCCCACCAGCCCTTCAACGGATGGTGCCTTTGGTCAGGACTGTGGAAGCCCCCAACATGCAGAGTGCCCTCTGGAGGGTCCTTGATGGCCTCAGCAGAGTTCCAGATGGGGAAACAGGTATGGGGACTCAGAGCAACCGTGTGGTGAGGCAATGCTGGGATTCTGGGGAGAGTGGGCTCGCCGGGTCCCTAGATGAAACTTCACCCTCCTTAAGTCTCCAGTAAGTCCTGGGTGGCACCTGACTCAGCGGGTGACACGTCCCCCTGTGGCCATGACTATCTGGAGGGATGTTGAGTCCCCTCATACTGAATCATTAAACACACTTTTGTGGGCTGGGTCCTAACTTGCCTAGGGCTCAGAGGCTAAACTGAGGGACAAGTGTCTCCTGTCCTGTACCTTCAGGATCACGACTCCTCCATCACAGGACTCCCAGTCCTGGCCCAGACTAGATGTTTACTGCCATTGCTCTTTGTTCAGTCACATTATAGTCCCCATGGCCCCACCCCGTTCCATCCCTCCCAGCCACCCACGTCCTAGGTGCGTCCTAGGTGCAGCCCAGATCAAGAACTTGTTATGTTTTAAAGTTGGCGCCTGTGTTGCTCAGCCATGGTTGTAGAAGGCGTGTACAAAGGTCCTGAGGCTGGACATTCCACGTGGGTAAGGGGCAGCCACTGTGGAGTCCCAGGACAGAAAAACAGGAAGTTTGGCACACAAAGCCCACATCCCTGTTTTTCTTTCTTTCTTTGTTGGTTGTTGGTAGACACACGGTGTCACTATGTAGTCGTGACTAGCTTGGAACTCACTATGCAGACCTGGCCTCAAACTCACAGACATCTGTCTGTCTCTGCTTCAAGCACTGAATGAAAGCCATGCATCCCGACCCTTGGTTTATGTGGCGATTGGACCGAGCCCAGGGCCTCCTGGCCGCTAGGTGAGCATTCTGCATCCCAGTCTCCTCTTTGTTTTAGACATAGCTGCACTGTGTAGCCCACCCTGGGTCCACCTCTGGTGTTTTGTCTTTGCTTTTAATCTTCCCAGAAGCCTCTAGCCCCAGGGAGTCCTGAAACAACCTCCCCAAGTCACAGACAGGGAAACTGAGGCTTATAATTAAGTTACTTGTTCAAGAGAGTCAGGTTTGTGTGAGCTGTGTCCTGACCCCAAGGCAGGCCTCCAGAGGCTTCACAGCCCGGAGCAGGGAAGTGACCCAGGAGCCTGTGTCCAGCTCGGCCTTCACCCTGTCCCTCTTCAGACTGGCTGCTCACAAGGTGAGAAGCCACATTCTGGTTCCTTCTGTCTCCACCTCCCAGGAAAACCACAGGATACTACTTTCTGGGCCTCAGTTTACCCTCCAGGCTACCACTGAAAGAGTCAGGAGTCCACAGACCTAGGTAAGGTCACCTGCCAATTATGTGACTGGAACCGTCCCAGTTCCCAGCTGATAAAACTGAGTCCAAGCCCTCAGGGCGATGGGAAGCTCCTAGTCTGGATGACAGGGCTCAGGTGGGGTCCCTTATAGGCCAGAGCCACAGTGGGATCTAGCCGGCCACCGCAGGGAATACACAGATCATTTTGGAGTCAGGCTGCACACCTGTAAAAGGCCAGGTCCATCAAGTCCCCCTTGGGGTCGCATGCTAGGACCATCATAGTAGCCCACAGCAGCCTGCACACACAGCCAGGCACAGGTATAGAGAGAAACTGAGGCCGGGATGCACATAGGGTGGTGTGGGGATGGGAGGGGACGTGAAGGACCCAGGATGGACGGGTGCGGGACCCTGATCGCTCACCTGCTTGCTCCTCAGGATCCGGCTAGCCGTCACTTTTGTGCAGGCGCCTCGGTGCGGCGATGGATCTGAGCCGCGGGCTGGGCATGAGACCACGCCCCCTTGTAGAACCACGCCCCTACACAAACAGGCCACGCCTCCGCAGGCGCTCACTGGCTCAGCAAATGGTAGGGCACGGGCGGTGTA